TGCGGACTGAAAGGTCCCAGGTTCGATTCTGGTCAAAGGCATGTACCTTGGTTGTGGGCATATCCCCAATAGGGGGTGTGCAAGAGGCAGCTGATTGATGATTCTCTCTCATCGATGTTTCTAACTCTCTATCCTTCTCCCTTCCTCTCTGTAAAAAATCAATAAAATATGTTTTTTTTAAATTGTATACTTTAAATATGTGCACATTTATTTTACATCAATAATGTACCCCAATAATGCTATAAAAATTCACATACCCATTGACACAGACTCTACACTATAGAAATAAAAGTACAAGTCTCCTCAGGGGTTGGCAAATATTTTCTGTAAAGGACCAAATAGTAAATAGGTTCAGCCTTGGGGGCCATATTGTCTCTGTGAAAATTACTCAACTCTGTCATCGTAGCTCAAAAGGAACCGTAGATTCTGAACCAGTGAGCGTGGCTGTGTTTCAATAAAACTTTATTTAATCCAGTGGGCTGGATTTGGCTTGTGGACCACAGTTTGCAGAACCCAGTTACACGTACTCCTGTATCTGCTTGGCTGGTCTAGATCAGAACAAGCCACTTAGATGTCTATCCAAAGGGGATTAGCTAAATAATTCATAATAAATCCTCACTGTGAAGATCAGAGAGACTATTTTTAAAAAATGGTTGGGCCCCGTGTGTGTGTTGATAAGGAAAGACATTTACGATAGTAATTAAAAATACTTTTATTATGAAAATGTTTAAATATACAGAAAAGTTTAACAAAATTTGTAGTGAGAACCTGAATGACCACTACCTAGATTTTACCATTAACATTTTACTTATTTTTTTTCCATATATTCATCCATTGATTCATGATAGATTATTAGGTGAAAAAAAATGAGGCATGAAATGTACTATATTAATTTCATTTTAGCACAAGAGTTTGTGAAGTCTAGAAAAAAGTATCTAGAGAGATTCCTGAACTTTTTTTTTTTTTTTTTTAATTCTCACCCAAAGATATATGTTTATTGACTTCAGAGGAGAGACATGGTCGGTTGCCTCCCGGAGGCACCCTGGCCTGGGGAAAACCTGCAGCCTGTCGGTGTAGAGGGCAGGCTCCAACCAACGGAGCCACACGCAGGATGAGATGTTTGAGCTCTATATTGATTAGCTGAGTGCTGGCATTGTATGTAAGAAGAGGAAGAAACGACTGTGTTATTTCTCTGGTCATCTCTAATGTTGAATTAGTTGTGAAAAGTGTAAAGCCCTAAGAAGAAAATTTTAAAGCACTTCTTTAGTAAAAATGAAAGTCTAGTCCAACCCTTGACATCTCCTTAAAGGGAACTGACAGAGAACCAGAGCTAAGCTTCAGAGAGGTAGGCTCCCCCAGCCCCACCCACGGCACAGGGCATGCACACACGAGAATAACCAAGCCCCTGTATGTCCTTGAGTGTACACACACACTCAATTCACCCTTCACGTCCCCACACACAGCACACACAGGTGCCAAAGCCCACCTCTGTCTCCCAGGCTGCAGTGACTCTCCACACTCCGCCCCTGCCCAGGAGCAGGTGTGTCCATGTACCTGCCGGCTCCTCCATCACCAATCGTGCCCCCGGAGGGGCATTCCTGGCACCTGGAAGAGATACAGGACCTGCCCTCCTTCAAGTTCAGTTTATTCACAGACACCTCTGTCCCCAAGAGTCCAATCAACATCCCTTTCCTACTCTCAGGCCCCACTTGTAGTCGGCCTCTTCCAGAAGGATCTATGGCCTCCTCCTCATTTACGTTCTTTTCATACAACCAACATGGATGAGAGCCTCTTCCAACCATGCGACAAGCTGCCAGGAGCTCCCAGGCTGTGGGGAGACAGCTCGGGCGGTGGCTGCAGGCACAGAGGCGGGCACCAGGTGGGGTTGTGCTGTAAATGGCAATAGCAGAACTGAGTTTGGGGGGAAGGACCAGCAGGTGTCCGGTGGAGGTGAGTGGTAGCTGCAATCAGGGAGGATGTGGCCGGAAGGGCCTATGAGTGGGGACCTCAGGGGGACTGGAGTGGTGGGAGGGGGACAGAGGTCAGGAAGGTATCTCTTCCCACGTATGCAGGGCAGCTTGGCTCACAGCCAAGGGCCCCAGGAAGGGATGTGTCTCCCCTAGGAAAGGGACTCCATTCCCACCTCGCCTGCCGCTCTGGCCCGCTCTGCCCAGTCGAGCAGAAATGGGGGTGGGCATTGATGGCAATCTCCCTCTTCCCAGTCCCCTCCGGTCCTCCTCATAGTCTCCCTTTCAGTGAGCGCCTGGGGTATTGTTCTGCCTTTGTAAAGAGGGGGATTGAGTGACAAAGCCGGGTGGGTGGGCGGGCGGCCCAAGAGGCCTCTTCTCTCCCAGGCAGTATCTGCATGGGGGAGGGGCTGTTCCCTAACCCCTCCCCACCTCTGGCTTCCCAGAGCAGCTGTTACCATGGTGACAGGCCTGGCATCCCCTGGCTCCTGGGGCGCCCTTCCCTTACACTGCCAGAGGAAGGGCCCCTGATTCCTCTGGGGAGGTGGGGAGGGGGTTAGGGGGGTTGGGGCACAAAAAACCTGGTTCCCAAGCCAGTCCTAACAATGGGAAGCCTCCACCAGGCTGAGCTTCCCAGTCTGGCTGCCAGCAAAGGGGACAGACAGCTCTGGAGCCCCCTCCTCCCACCAACACCATAACGCAGGGGCTCAGGAGGCAGGGTCATGCTCCACTGTCATCCATGCAATCGTCCCTCCTTAGGGCAAGACACAGAGAAAAATAAAACAGCCCCTTGGTCCTAGAGCAGCTGCTGGTGTTGAAGCAGAGGAGGAATGGATGGTGTGTGTGGGTGCACAGTAGGTGGACAGTGGGGGGGGGGGCAAGGATCCTGGGCCCACAGGGCAGAGCCTCCAGCTCCATCCAGAGAGGGGGCTGCGGTGGGAGGCGATGCTGGAAGCCAGAGCAGCAGAGAAGGGCCTCTGAGCCGGGGAGACTGGATGCAAGACGAGGTGGCACGTTGTTTTTGGAAGGAGTTGGAATACGAGGAGGGGGTTGGCAGGAAATGAAGAGGCAAGTGGGGAAGTCATGCCTTGAAGCGTTCTGCTGCCTTCTCCATGAGCAAGAGCTGTCACCCTGTGCAATGGGAAACTGCCCCTGGCATTTCGGCGATGAGCCTGTTACCCTTGACCAGGTGATCAAAGTCACATCCTTTTCCCAAAGGTGCCTCCCTCCTGCGCTGCCTCCTTGGGAAGGAAGTTCAGGATCTTGCAGCAGCACCTCTCTTGGCTCAGGGGAGCCAAGCACACACTACGCACTGGGCACGGTGCTGGCTGCATCTCCTGGGATGCCCGGTCTCTCATGTGCCCGCGAAGAACAAGAGGCTGGATGCACGCCTGCAACAGAGCGTCTTTCTTTCCTTCTCTCTTCCTCATTCTAGCTCAGCTCTTAGCCGGGTGAGCACTAATTACAGCCACTGCCCTGGCTCCTTCTGGAGCCCCCACCACATGCCAAGCTCTACAGAAGGGTGAGCTGGGTCAGCTGGCCTGGGCAGGAGCCCTTCCTCAGCTGGCGACAGGCAGCCTGATGGAGTGGAAGAGCCTGCATGACAGGCTTTGTGAGTTCTATAATCTGGGGCAAAGAGCTCAAGTTTTCTGGGCCTTGATTTCTCATCTGTAAAATGGGCTCAGAGTTTCTTGCAGGACTATGAGAGTTTAAAATGCCCGGCGTGAGGCTGCTTGGCTTTCCGTAGGCCCTCAGCCAGTCTCCTAGCCCTCCTGCAGGCCGATCCCTTCGTCATTCATCCTCTAAGCACCCTGACCAGCTGCTAGGGTGACTGAACTGGTGCTGAGCATACATGTTGAGTCTGAGTCTTCCAGATACTCTTAAGGGGAGAGGGCAGATAGAAGGTGGGCAAAGGGGGGACAGCAGTCTCAGCATGAGTCCCAAACCAGAGCAGGGCCCCTTGGGTGGTTTGCTTGATGCCCTTGGCTTTCACCCACAGAGCTACCCAGGAGCCATGGAGGGTACCTGGCTGAGCAGAAGTGGGAGGACTGAGGTGCTCTGGGACCCTAGGGAGCCCCACCACCCGGCCCCTCAGAAGCACCTTCCCAACCCAGGGGGTGTACACAGGAAGGGGTCTCAGTCTCAGATCTCCTTCACTCATTGTCATCTGTCACCGACAGACTGAGCCATACCCCTAGGGCTTCACCATTCTTGCATTGGGTCCTGCCTTGGTGGTTCCCTCTGTGCCACAGGAAGGACACTCTCCCCTTCTCCACAATGGAAGTGAGGCCCACGGAAGCAGGGGGAGTAATCACCCAATAATATCACCCTGATAGTGTAGTGAAAGGAAATAACGGAGTGTGAGCTGTAACCGGTTTGGCTCAGTGGATAGAGCGTCAGCTTGAGGACTGAAAGGTCCCAGGTTCGATTCTGGTCAAGGGCATGAACCTTGGTTGCGGACACATCCCCAGTAGGAGTCATGCAGGAGGCGGCTGATTGATGTTTCTAACTCTCTATCCCTCTCCCTTCCTCTCTGTAAAAAATCAATAACATATATTTAAAAAAACAACAACAACAAACAAACAAACGAAGTGTGAGCTGTGAGCGGGCAGACCATGCCGTACTTCAACCCGTCCCACAGGTCCGCACCCCCCACCCCCGGGGTGGCTGCGGGACGGGGCCGCGGCGCCTTTAAAGCCCGGGCGGGGGCGGGCCCGGCGCGCGAAGGGCCCGCCTCTGGGCCTGTCCGCCCGGCGCCCCGCCCCGAGGCTTGTAACCGCGGCCGCGGGAGGCGGCGCCGGCTCAGGCTCCGCGGCCGCCGGGGTGGCAGCGGCGGTGGCTCCTCGGCGCCTCTCTCCCGCGGGCGGCTCTCCTGCGCGCTGCCCCGCGCGCCCCGCAGCCGCGCCGGGACACACGCGGGCGGCCCGGCGATGGCCCGCGCTCCGGGGCCGGGCCGGCGCGCACCGGGGCGCCGGACGGCGCGGCCCGAGTGAGCCGGGGCCGACCTCCCGCCTCCGGCCGGGGCAGCCCGGGATGGCCGTGCCGCCGATCCGCCGGGCGCTGCTGCTGTGGCAGCTGCTGGCGGCGGCGGGCGGCGCGGCGCTGGAGATCGGCCGCTTCGACCCGGAGCGCGGGCGCGGGCCGCCGCCGTGCCAGGCGGTGGAGATCCCCATGTGCCACGGCATCGGCTACAACCTCACCCGCATGCCCAACCTGCTGGGCCACACGTCGCAGGGCGAGGCGGCCGCCGAGCTCGCCGAGTTCGCGCCGCTCGTGCAGTACGGCTGCCACGGCCACCTGCGCTTCTTCCTGTGCTCGCTCTACGCGCCCATGTGCACCGACCAGGTCTCCACGCCCATCCCCGCCTGCCGGCCCATGTGCGAGCAGGCGCGGCTGCGCTGCGCGCCCATCATGGAGCAGTTCAACTTCGGCTGGCCCGACTCGCTCGACTGCGCCCGGCTGCCCACGCGCAACGACCCGCACGCGCTCTGCATGGAGGCGCCCGAGAACGCCACGGCCGGCCCCGCGGAGCCGCACAAGGGCCTGGGCATGCTGCCCGTGGCGCCGCGGCCCGCGCGGCCCCCCGGGGAGGAGGCGGCCCCGGGCCCGGGCCCGGGCGGCGGCGGCACCTGCGAGAACCCGGACAAGTTCCAGTACGTGGAGAAGAGCCGCTCCTGCGCGCCGCGCTGCGGCCCGGGGGTCGAGGTGTTCTGGTCGCGGCGGGACAAGGACTTCGCGCTCGTCTGGATGGCCGTGTGGTCCGCGCTGTGCTTCTTCTCCACCGCCTTCACCGTGCTCACCTTCCTGCTGGAGCCGCACCGCTTCCAGTACCCCGAGCGCCCCATCATCTTCCTCTCCATGTGCTACAACGTCTACTCGCTGGCCTTCCTCATCCGCGCCGTGGCCGGCGCCCAGAGCGTGGCCTGCGACCAGGAGGCGGGCGGCGCGCTCTACGTGATCCAGGAGGGCCTGGAGAACACGGGCTGCACGCTCGTCTTCTTGCTGCTCTACTACTTCGGCATGGCCAGCTCGCTGTGGTGGGTCGTGCTGACGCTCACCTGGTTCCTGGCGGCCGGCAAGAAGTGGGGCCACGAGGCCATCGAGGCCCACGGCAGCTACTTCCACCTGGCGGCGTGGGGGCTGCCGGCCCTGAAGACCATCGTCATCCTGACGCTGCGCAAGGTGGCCGGGGACGAGCTCACCGGGCTCTGCTACGTGGCCAGCATGGACGCGGCCGCGCTCACGGGCTTCGTGCTGGTGCCCCTGTCCTGCTACTTGGTGCTGGGCACCAGCTTCCTCCTGACGGGCTTCGTGGCCCTCTTCCACATCCGCAAGATCATGAAGACGGGCGGCACCAACACGGAGAAGCTGGAGAAGCTCATGGTCAAGATCGGGGTCTTCTCCATCCTGTACACGGTGCCTGCCACCTGCGTCATCGTGTGCTACGTCTACGAGCGCCTCAACATGGACTTCTGGCGCCTGCGGGCAACGGAGCAGCTGTGCTCCCCAGCCAGCGTGCCAGGCGGCCGGAGGGACTGCTCGCTGCAGGGCGGCTCGGTGCCCACCGTGGCCGTCTTCATGCTCAAAATCTTCATGTCGCTGGTGGTGGGCATAACCAGCGGCGTCTGGGTCTGGAGCTCCAAGACTTTCCAGACCTGGCAGAGCCTGTGTCACCGCAAGATGGCAGCTGGCCGGGCCCGGGCGAAGGCCTGCCGGGCCCCAGGAGGCTATGGCCGCGGCACCCACTGCCACTACAAAGCTCCCACCGTGGTCTTGCACATGACTAAGACGGACCCCTCTCTGGAGAACCCTACACACCTCTAGGTACACAGGCCTACTCAGGGCGGCTGTTGCCCCCTCCTCTACCCGCCCTCCCCTGTGGAGGAGACAGCTGACTAGCAGCTGCCCAGCTGTCAAGGTCAGGCAAGTGAGTGCAAGGGGGCTGAGGACCAGGGCAGGGAGACTCCTTCAACCCTCACGAGTGAGGACCCAGTGAGGCTCACTCCCCTGTGGCCTAGAGCAGGGGGTGGGCCTGCCTAAGTCCCCACAGGGTCCCCAGGGAGTATGGGGAGAAGGGGCAGAAAGGGGCATGGTCCAGCAGGGAGTTTATTTAATGATGTAATTTATTGTTGAGTTTCTCTGGAAGCTGTGACTGGAATAAACCCCCATGTGGCACCCCTGAGTCCTCTCTGGGCCGGGAAGGGAGGGGGGGAGGGGGACTCTGCAGGAATCTTTGTGAGCAGAGCCGGGGTGGGTCCCTACCCCTGTTCTCTGCTCCCCACCAATCAGGAGGATGTCCCCCATGGAACAGCTGTGTTTTGCAAGTCTCAGATTCTGTGTGTGTGTGTGTGTGTGTGTGTGTGTTTGTGTGTTTCCCTTCTGCCTGTCTTCGCTCCTTTTTGGCAACCCGCTTGCCTATTTCTGAGGCCTGGGTTCCTGCTTCCCAAAGTGAGACTGGGATGCCTGCCTGCTGGGATACTCAGGGAACCCCCCAGGGTGGCATCCTCATCTCTGGGCCTGGAGAATCTAGCCATTTGGGGGTTGTGTTTAGTAAGTCTTCCTTTTCGCAGACTGCTTTCCTCATTTGTGTAGAAAATGAGGGCATCGGCTTATCTCAAAGGTTCTCAGAGCTCCAGGCCCTGCTCCTACCGCCTCCTGTAGGCCAGTCTCCTCCCTGGGGCCTGAGGCTGGTGTATGTGGAGTATGGGGAGAAGGGACAGAAAGGGGCATGGTCCAGCAGGGAGTTTATTTAATGATGTAATTTATTGTTGAGTTTCTGGCCATCCTTATTGCCTTTGAAGGTTGCCAGTGCACCCACTTTACTGGTTGGGGCCCTGGGGCTCTCTCTGGGTGGAGCAGAGCTGGGACTAGACTGGTATATGGGCATCTTGGTATCAGACATGGACATAGAGATGGGAACCCGAAGATAGTGGGAACTGGGCCTTCAGCTCCTAAGAAGCTGTGGAAAGATTTGAGGTATGGGAGGAGCAGCAGTAAGAAATGGAGCAGGTACAAGGCAGTATGCATGGATGCCAGGGACTGTGAAAAGGTCCATGTGTGTCTGTATGCCAGGTCCCAGGGACCCCCATCAGCTTATGTGGTTAAATGGCCCCATCATGGCCACTGTGACCCTCACCTTGAACAACGTGATGGTCTTGGTTACTGTCCCAGGGTGCATGGCACAGTGGCATTCATTGTCGCTGCCGGGAGGCCCCACGGATCCAGTTCCACTGCCGGCCTCCCTTTGGAGCCAAGGGGAGGCCCAAGGTCACCAGCTTCATTTCAGTGGTAGCCCCCAAACCCAGGGCCTCTCAGGGCATAGTTCTTGCCCTGCACCAACCACCCATCTCCCAGGACAAGAGAGAAACCAGATGAAAACCAACGACAGGTCCATCAGGAGTTGAAATGGGTTTGGGGCTGCCCCTCATCACATTCAGCAGCACTGACCTCTGGGGGAATTTTGCACCCCTTCTGCCTTTTTGCTTCTGTGTTTCTTACATGTGGGAATGCCTTCCTCACCTTAATCCTTCCCTTCTCACAGAGCACACCGTAGGCCCCTGTGCCTTCTTTGATCAATGAAGCCAAATGACCATAACACCTTGTAACTCTCCCTGTGAGGGTCCTTGAGTGAGTGAGACTGGATGAGCTTATTGAAAGTGACAGGGGCCCAAGTTCAGAGTGGGAGGGGCAGTGGCTGCACCAAGCTGGGCTTATAGGCCAGGTCTGCAGGGAGTGGGTGGAGCTGAGGCTGCTTAAAGGCCTGCATGGGACAGGGGCAACTGGAGTAAAAGGAGAGGATTCCCAAGATGGGAAGAAAAAGGCAAGTGTGAGGGGTGAAGGGAAGGATTAGCTTTAAAATGGCATCAGTTCACCCTATTCCTTGCCAGTCATTGGACAAGGGAGAGGGGGTCTTTGGCTATGTTTCACTCAGCAGAAACCAGACTGGCTTCCAGAACTGGGAGGCGGGTGGGGACTGAGGGGGAGGTGTAGTCAGGACCAGCCCCAAGGGGACTCTGGTTGCTTTGAGACTGAGATGGTTCACATGGGCCAGTACTTGGGAGGGAGGGAGAATGGACGTTGCCATCCAAGGCTTCTCGGCACTGGAAGACACTTTAGAAATGTCCCAGACCCTAGAGGAAAAGAAGGAAACATTTATTAAAGACCTTTTACAGAAGTCCTCATTTGGTCCTTCTCTCCCAAAGAGGGAAGGGGAAAGTGGAGGACTTGGCTGGTTCATCACACAGCCAGGTGGTGGTCTGCAGCCTCCAGAACTTTTGTGACTTCCTCCACCACCACCACCACCACCACCACCACCACCACGCCCCAGGGGAACAGCAGATGTTGTAACCTGGGGTGGTTTTGTCCAGAGAAGCTCCGCCCAAAGCAGGGTTTGCCCATACCCCAACACAATTCCAGAGCCCCCCAAACGTCTCAGAAGGTGACTCTTCAGAGCACCGCAGCACGGCAGTGTGCACACATCTATCCGGTCTGAACTTGTGGCCGGGAGAGCCCGAGTTAAGGGAATTCCTTAGGTCAGTTCTCAGGAGTCAACAAGGGTGATCTTGATGCAGGTCAGACAGACCTGCCTTGGGGGTCAGTAGCTGCTATCAGTTCCACTCTGAAAGGGAAAGTTCCAGCTGTGCCCGAGCAGTCCTGGGTATAAGAAGGCCGGAAGGCCCTGGGCTAGAATGGAAGCTGTAATAGCAGGGCAAACCTCTTTCTGCCTCACCTGAGTTTCCTCACCCCTGCCAAGGAGACCCTGGCTCCCTGGCAAGTTGGAGACACACACTGCCCAAGTGGTGGCTTTGGAATCCAGACCCCACCTCACTGCCACCCTTGACTGTACCTCCTCCCCAAGACACAGGGTTGGAGGAAAAAGAAGTTAGGATGAGGGGAGGCTTAGTTGGTTTTCAGAAGTAAAGATTCATACCCATCTTCCAGAATGAAAGTTCTCGCCCTGGCTGGTGTGGCTCAGTGTTGGAGCTTTGGCTGTTGCACAGAAGGGCCCAGGATTCAATTCTGGGTCAAGAGCATGTACTTGGATTCCCGGTTCCCCCCCGTGACCTGGGGCGGAGCACATGTAGGAGGCAACCAGTGATGAATAAAACTTCCTCCCTGACTGTAGCCAACACTCACTCTCATTGATGTTTCTCTCTCGACCCTCCCTTCCACTCTCTGAAAAGCAATGGGAAAAATATCATGTGAGGATTAACAACAACAACAAAGGATAAAAAGTTTTTGTCCCTATTTATAGTACCGAGGTCACACCCCTGAAGTAGGGAAAAATGGTGCTTCTGGAGGTTGGGCAGGACCAGGTTACAGATCCTAGATGAAGTCACATGGTCGCAATAGCACCATCCTACTGTGGCCTAAGGATCCTACCTGAGGGACAGACCTGCACACACGGGGTGGGAGTCCAACGGTGTGGGAAAATGCTCACAGGTAACAGCTCCCTTCTCCAGAGCCTGAGGGCTGATCAATTTGACCTTGGGGCAAACTGTTTCCTCCCCTGTAGGACTGAAAATCCCGAAGTATGTACTCAGTACAGGCCTGGCTCCAAGTCCACACATTCAACAAGGCCACACAAGTCAGCGGCAGAACCCACACAAAGGGCTTGGGTTCCTCCTCACACTTCTTGCTATTTTACCATATGCCACCCCTGGTTCAGTTGGTCAGGAATTGGTGGTTTCTTTTCTCAATAAATGGGAGCATGCAGTGGCTCTGCAAAATCTTTGAGTCCATAGGTAAGCTGCCACCTAGCAGTGACTATTTGAATCAATCATTTGGACTTTATAAAACGTCCAGCATAAAGAAAAAAATACAAAAATCAAAAACAAAACCTCAAAATTGGCTACATGGTAGAATTGTTAAAGCTGAGTATATTCGAATCCATTACATATTCACTCTTTTTGTTTGAATTTTAATTTTTTTTTTTTAAACCCTCACCCGAGGATATTTTTTCCCAATGCTTTCCAGAGAATGGAGGGAAGGAGAGAAAGAAACATCAATGTGAAAGAGACACATGGACTGGCTGCCTCCTACACATATCTTGACTGAGGGTGGGGAGCGAGCCCACAACCCAGGTACGTGCCCTTGACCGGGAATCAAACCCACATAGCTTCCGTACGCAGGCCGATGCTCTAACCACTTAGTAACATTGACCAGGACTCCCAGAAAGTTTTTAAAATGTCAGGAGTTTCCCCAAAATTAACTAAAAAATTACATAAATTTCTACAGTGAAGACTTAAAAAACACTTTCCTCTAATTCTTAGAAATTTCAAATAAAATGTTGGGGGTTTTCCAACAAGGCCAGGGAAAACGAAGGTCTTACTTTGTACCTGGAGCACGAGAAATGTCTCCTGGAAGCAAGGAAACGAGAAGCTGGCTATAACCTGTGGTTAAAAAGGCTAACTCAGCCTGGCCAGTGTTGCTCAGTGATTAAGGGTCGACCATGAACCAGGAGTTGATTCCCAGTCAGGGTACATGCCCAGGGTTGCAGGCTCGATCCCCAGTAGGGGCATGCAGGAGGCAGCAGATCAATGATTCTCTCAGCATCGATGTTTCCATCCCTCTCTCCCTCTCCCAAATAAATAAAAACATTAAAAAAGAAAAAAATTAAGTCAGAGGTCCTCCCAATGCTGAGGAATAACTGGTTCCAAGACTCAGTGGGAAAACAGAGGACTCAGGACTATACACTTTCCAGTAGCACCCCCAAAGAGTACAAAGAAATCACCAGCATTGTTTTTTCTTTATAAACACAAGTACATAATGTTTATTTGAAATTCCAATTTATTACAAGTTTTCCCCTCAATGGGGCCCTTCCTCCTTAAAGACAATTAAAAAACAACAAATTCAGGTATCACTGAAGTGGGAACACAGGATTCTTACTGTTAACAAGAACAGACTGGCTCTAGGGTAAGAGGCAGGAGGTGTTGGTGTTGGGATTATGAAACTGTAATGTCAGTGCTAATTCCAAGCCTGTGGAAAGGGGACAGTAAACCTATCCACCAGCCACTGGAGCAAATCCCCAAAGTCCCTAGGGGAGAGGCAGGGACCACACCTTGAAGTTTAATACTAAGAGGCTTTATTCCCCAATTCTATAAATTGCAATCCCCTTGGTGGAATTCTTTTCACTTCATTTAAGTACAGAAGAACCTAGGTGATCCAAGTTTTCCAATTCAAAAGTGATAGGGGAAAAAAAAAAAAATTAAACCCTGTTTTGCATTTTTATCAAAATCTTCCATAAAAGGGAAAGAAGACTACAAACTTTTGCCTAAATATAACCACTAGTGCTAGAGTCATTGTGGGAAGGGGCTGCCTAGCTCCTCCTCCCATCTCTCCTCCCACTGAAAGATCCAGGTTCTCAGGGAGCAGAGAAAAGGCATGGGAGGAGGGGGATGAAATGGAAATGGAGAAGGGAGAAACAGCCCAGGGGCATGCAGGGGGATGCCCCCCGCCCCAGGTCACACTGATTGCTGATAAGCCTCCAACCCACTTCTCTGAAGGAGAGAGGATGGGCTGAGGGAGGAGATGAGGCAAAGGAAAGCAAACACATTATCATATAAATTGTACTGTACATGTGCCAAAGCAAGATGACAGAAATATTTTACAAGATGTTTTTTATACAATATCACTGCTAAAACAAGCGATCTTTAATAGAAAAGTCAATTTAAAAAAATTAAACATTTCAATCCTTCCTGCTTTTCTTCTGCTCCCCTAAGAGCTTATCTGGTATGTGGGTGGGCTGGGCTCCAGCACCCCTCTGGCCAGATCCATCAAACTAAAGATTATATGCATGATTATAAGCAGGACTCCAGTCTCTATGTGAAGTGCCTTAGTTTGTTTTTGTTTGTTTGTTTGTTTTCTGAAGGGTGAGGAGAGGTGGTAGTGGGGAGAGAACTGTCACAAAGAAGGGGAAGGGTATTGAGGAATGGCTCTAAGACATGTCCCTTTACTCTGTCAAGATCAACTCAAAAAGAGCACAACTGTTTCATGATGCTGGTGAATACAGAATTCTGTATGGCACTCACTAATACCATCACCTGAGAGGGAGAAGGGGGGAAGAGACATGGGCTTAAAGAAACAAGGCTGTATATAAATATAGATTTTTAAAAAGCCACATCACCTCTCTAACTGGCCTGGTTATACTTGATCCTTCTGTATTATACAGTAATCCCGCCCCTGGAGACCAGAGGGCTTGGCACTATTGTGGTGGCCAAAGTGGAGGGGACCTTGGGTAGGAAAGAAAAGGAATTGGGTTCATACCCTTGGGCTCTTCATGGAGATTCTCAGAAAGGTTAGGTTAAGGTTTACCACCATATTTCTAGGCAGAGACCAACCCAATATAACAGCTCTGCTTAAGGTTCTATGGAGTTTTAGAAAAACAGCACAAGCTTGGGACAACAGGCATTTCAGGACTCCGTGTGACGTCCTCCCTTCCATGTTCTTCTCCATCCCACCCTTCCTTCCCTTGCTCTCACCTCCATTTCCCGAACCTGCTCCCTCTCCCTCACCAGGGCCCCACTCTCTATTTCTTCTGTCTTCGTCCCCTAGACTGTCCAATGGCCTCTGGCTCACTGTCCCCTTCATCTTCAGTAAACTGGTCAGGAAACTTCTTGCGTTTCCTACGGACATATGGGTGGCCAGGAAGGTGTTTATGCAGCAAAGCCACCAGGCACTGTTCTGTCTTCACCATGCAGTTCAGCACATGGCTGCCTCGGCAGTTGTAGAGCTCAGCGTTGGTAAACACCTGCTTCATGTCGGTAAGAAACTCTTGCACAGAGCGGTAGCTCCCACAGGAACATTTGTTCTGCATTGTCTGGAAATCCATGGGGTGGGTGATCACATCATAGTAGTCCTCAGCCTCATCTCTGGTCACAGGCTCTCTGTGGAGAAACACCAAATAGCGATATCAGCACAGCCTTGATACAACTGACAGAAACTTTGCTGTTAAACCATTAGCCACAGAAGGCCCACCCCTGCTGAGATCAGCCAACTGGTAGGCACAGCGAAGGTGTGTTCACCTTGCACTAAGAGCTGTCTCCACCAGTTTGGAGCACCAATCCCCTGCCACTGAGACATGTCTTGAAAGGAAGGGATCAGATTAGTTGCTAGGGGTTCAAATGGGCACTCCCTCAGCCAGCTGCCAGGTTGGTCTACTCCTCTGTGCTTGAGAACAAAGCGTGTTACCGGAAGGGCCAGCTGGAGCGGTACTTCACAATCTTGTTGAGGATCTCTTCACACTTCTGCAACTCCAGGCTTTGCCTCCGGGAGCTCCGTTTGGTCTGAAGCACCTGGTGCCAATGGAAGAAGACACTATTATAGGTCCAAGAGAAGAAAAGTGTACAAAACAGAAAATGTATACATTTGCTTTAAAAAAGAGAAAGAGCTCAACCATTTTTTTAGAGCAGATAGACCTGGGATTATGGTAACAGTGTTGTATATAAGCAAGCAATTGCAGAAAACCAGACCGGTTATGGGAGCCCCTGACAGACAATTCTGTGGGAGTAGGGAGTCTCAGTGAAGAAAGGGAAGAGGCACAGTTCCTTTCCCATGTTCTCCCGCTGCAGGCATGTGAGAGCTAAGTGACTAAGAAGAAAAAAAGTGGGGCCTTTTTTCCAGTAGCCATTAAAACGCTGCGACTTGGAGAAGGAGCACCACCGAGTTGAAGAGGTTAGGTTGGGCAAGTAGGAGGATCTCTCATTGCTCTTCGAGCTCCCTAATGGTTTGCTTTATGCCCTCAGTCCATCCCAACCCCAATTTGATCTGTCAAAACAATCAAGTTTTCAAGGGCCTCTTTTTGTTCTTTAAAGCTCTAGTGAAGTCTAAAGCAAAACCACTATATTCACAATGGAGGAGCAGAGGGGAGGGTAATGTCCCTCCCATAACAACTGTCAGTAAAAGACCAGAGAGTAAATGAAGTTCCAACATTGCTGACATTCCCACAATGGAGACCCAGCCCCGCTGAGCCACTGGAGACACATGGATACTATTTTAAAACCCTTAACAAGTTGCAGGCTGCCTGTTAACGAAAGGAGACAATGTTTGCAGGCTACAGCAGAATGCCGGACATAGCTGTTCCTGGAGGGCCTGCTGCCTTGTCTGTCTATAGGCCCTCCCATCAGCCTCCAAATTTAGGGAGGAGGGAGGGGAAGGGGAGGCTCCCACCTGTTGCTGATGAATTCCTAATGCTGTAGTGGGGAATAAGAAGCAGAAACATTAGAGGCAGGATGATAAATAATTCTTACCAGCTCATCAACCTCAGTATCATCTACAGGTGGTGCCTTTGGCTGAGACCTCCTGGTGATAGGATGTGGCTTCTTAGCAGGTCGTCGGCCTTGCCTTGCCACAGGGGGGATGACACCCGGCTTGCCCCGGACAGTCTTTCGAGGTCTCACTGAAATAAAAAATACAGACTGAGAGGAGAACAACTGAGGATAAAGGAAGCATGTTATGGAGCGAGGAGATAATCTGGACAAGCAAAGCAATGGCTTCCTTGGGTTACAGAGTGCTCTTTGCTATCTCCTGTCCTATCGAACATTGTGAAGGTAGCAGTAGTAGATAAAGAATAAATAGCTTTCATCAACTGCCAAAGACCTTTTTAAGAGCCTCCTCAGGTGAGTTCCTTCAGTGCTTCTATCCTCTGGCCCCACCCTGTTCACTTACTCCTGGGAATGAGGCTCTTGAAGGAGTCAATTATAAGTGACTCACTCAGAAGGAGAGGCCATTTGCTACAGGTCTGCCTGAAACTCCTACAGCCCACACTCAGCTGGAAAGAGTGTAATGCATTTACATGTGAGATGAAACCTGACTATAGGAGAGATCCTGTTTTATAATTCCCAGTTATCTTAAACTCACATCACAATGATCTTAGAGAAAAGCTGATACTTATGTAAAGTATTTATGTAAAGTCTTTCTCACTGAATACAATTTAGGGGTAGCATCAGTCCTGCTCTCTTGCATTTCTGATAACCACAGACAGTCATCCAGGTCACTTCCATAAAAAGCTGCTCAGGATTCCCAAAGAGGGAGCAAAGGATACAAGGGCACCCAAGACCACTTGTGTCTCAGGTTTACATGTGCTTAATGTCACACAAACCAACATTTCTCAATATCTCATGCTCCAGAAGGATTAGCTCAAGGTTTCCCTACTAAACAAAATCCCCCTGGAAAGTGGGAAGGTGACGTTAGGACAGAGATAGGGGCATCCAGAGGCAGTGATACAGGAATAAATGATGTTAACCCTTCATTGGTTATTCCAGGGTCTCAAGCTCAAGATCTGGCTAGGAACAGAGAGTAAGCAGCCGATGCTACTTTGGGATGTTAGGAACAGACCCCAAACACAGACTTGAGTTGAACTAGAGAACCACATCTTTGGTGGTCTAAAAGGCAGAGTAGACAAAATGTTCTATAATATATCCTATATCCTTTTGATAGAAATAGCCCTTGAAACCTGGAAAGGAAACAATTCCTTGGAAAGAGAGTAACAACTCAGAAGTAGAAAGCAATCACTAGTTTGAAAATAAACAATTAGTACACTGCTATATTCATAATCTGTTTCCAGATAAACATGCATCTGAATCACAACTCTCAGCAGTAGATGCTGGTCTCTGTGTGATGCAAGGTTAATGGACTGCTTGTCTCCTACCCTGGGTACCTGAAAAATCATGCCAGTAGAAATGAGTGAAACTGAGGTGTCCCGAATTAAAAGCCTGCTGAAACCGGTTTGGCTCAGCGGTAGAGCGTCGATCTGCGGACTGAAAGGTCCCAGGTTCGATTCCGGTCAAGGGCATGTACATTGGTTGTGGGCACATCCCCGGTAGGGGGTGTGCAAGAAAGAGGCAGCTGGTCGATGTTTGTTTCTCATCGACGTTTCTAGCTTTCTATCTCTCTCCCTTCTCTCTCCCTTCCTCTCTGTAAAAAAATCAATAAAATATATTTTAAAAAATAAAAAAAAAATTTTAAATTAAAAACAATAAAAGCCTGCAAGACTGGAGAGATGGGAGCAGGTGTAAGCACCAGCCATCAGGTTTGGCGGCACTACTAAAGAGACTGATCATGCCAAGCATCTTCTCTCTCCTTATACTAACGCTGATCATTCAGAGTACGATGATCTTGGGAATTATATCATCGTTTCAAGAGCTCATCAAAATCTTGATCTGTGTCTCTTTTCTACTAACCTACAAAGAAGGATATGTTTTGAAAAGAGGGAGTCTAAGGGTAAATTATAGAATTTCAAGCTTAACCATGAAAACAACAAGATTCTTAAATAGTAACAAAAAATAGTCAGCAAGGTAAGGGTAAACGATGAGGCCTTTTTCTCTCCCTACTGGCATCTAGTGTGAAACATATATGAACCTTCCTAACAACTTTATGCTTAAGCTATGAAAAAAAAAAACGGTATTCTTTTTCAAACTAGCAAAACTATACCCTGCATACTATAGGGAAGTACAAAACAAAGGAAAAATTACTTCTTTGAAAACAGAACTATAACAAAGGCAAAAGAACTGTTAAGAGAGGGCAATGGAACTGGACCTTCTTTATTCATTGTCCCCAGACATTGAGGGGTTCAGAACCAGAAGGCTTGTCATAAACATACTTAGTACCTTGCACTCCACTAAATCGTGGATCAAGTGCATCTACTATAGATTAATGTTCTTGAGACCAAGCTACCCAACCTCCTAATAGGAAGGTGGTTAAATGGCATCTTGAAAACAAATTTAAAACCATGGCAACGAAGTCACCCAACAGCCATAATATGTGAGAAAAGGAAGATGGCATGATTGCAAACTATCTTTTGCCTGCCAACCCAGTCTTTCCAAGTCAGCTTAAAAGACTATGAGATTAACTATGAGAGCAAACTGAATCCTTACATCGCAAACCAGCCACCTCATAATCTTCCTCTTCCTCTTCCTCCTCCTCCTCCTCTTCCTCTTCACTGCTCTCATTATCTTGGCTGTCCTCAGAGGCAGACTCTTCAGTATAATTCCTGTAAAGTGAAAAAGCATATAGGGAACCTGGTTCTAAGTCAAAATGTTCCTAAGGGGATAAAGTCCCATACGGATCCCAGCAACTTCTCCCTCTTCACACACTAGACAGATTTGATGAGGGAAGGTAAACTGAATCCAGGCCAGGACACAGGAAGTAGAATGAAAACCTAAGCTTCAACAGCATATCTCCCTGACCAGTCCCCAAATGCTTTGGATAAGATACCAATGGCAACAGAAATCAAGACCAAAATGTAACCCTTTCCCTCTCAAAACAATTCAAAATTTTATTCCTTTTATCTCACAAAAACAGCCAGATAATGTAACATTTAAGGTATTAAAATGTGTCCCCAACTCTGGGGTGGACTGAAAGAATAAAAGCCCAGACAGGTGTTACTCCACCTTGATGGCCCCTTTCCAGGAGCTGAAACAGCTTGCAGATGACCATAACATCAAAGCAATGGTAATCCCAGCTCAGAACAGCTGGTCCAAAGCCCCACCATTTCAGAACAGCATGCCTCATCTCTCTTAAGTGTAGCTGGAATGGAGTGAGAAATAACTGAGTGATACTGTTAGGTGAGGTCAGGATCAAACAGCTCTGCCCTTTCAAAGAGAGACCAAGCCAAAGTGCCTATAAGCTGTCCTTTTACAACCTCAAATTTCAATGTGGAAAACAATTGTATTAACTTGGCAAATATAAGGTGCCTCCTTTTTACAAAGCTCTATGTTTGGCCTTATTGAAATTAGGGTGAAGAACAAAGCACCACCTCTATTCTCAGGGCACTCACAATCTCATGGGAAGACAGTCAAATGCACCAAAATGCTGTTTTAGATATCGAAAACCCAGTTGAAACACAAAGAGGAACAATTAATTCTAAGGATGTAAGGACACTTCAAGAGAAATTTTCGATAGTTTATACTCAGTAAAATGAGGGAGTTCTTGGAAGAGAAAACATTCCCAGTTGGGAGGAAAGCACAAGAGGCAAGAATGCACAATGGACAGTTTGTAACAAGCGTACAAATATGGGAAGCAGGGATCATAAAAACATATGCCAGTATTGTACAATAGGAGTCTCAAAAGTTAGGCTAGGGAGTTTGGACTTTATTAAAGAGGAAATGTAAAGACTGATGTTTTTGAATAGTAAAGTGACATAAGCAGGTCTTTGCCTTTTAGAATCTATTTCGGTTCACCACTAAAGCTGGAAAGATAAGAGGGTGAAAGACATAGGGTAAGGAGTTGAGAAACCACTGAAAGAGCCCAGGTTAGAGATGTAGGAGGGCCAGTGGCAATAGGGACCTTGGAGAATGGACAGCAGCTTGATTCGTAAGACATCTGGACACTGACCTAATAACATCTAGCAAATGAATGACTATGGAAGACGAAAGAGAGGAAGATGTCCAAGTTGACACCCAAATTCTAATCATGATAAGAAAGGTCTGGGTAGGGAAAGTAATGAGTTTCAGGATTTGGTGGTTACAGACATAATCACCAACTAAGAAATGGGCAAGGTGAAATCAAGGGGCAGAAGGAGATTTACTGTCAATTTAGCAGGCATGGTCAAGAAGATAGAGAACATAGCTGGTAATGAAACTAGAAATGTCAACATTAAGCTAAAATTAAATCAGAGCCCTTTGAGTTCCTATTGTACCTTAAATGATCAGGCTCCATATCCAATAGATGAACTTAAATTAAAGCTCCTCAAAGTCATTCAGTTTGAATACCTGAAGCCTAATTATAACAGCTATTTATTCATTTGTTTTTAGAAGAAGAATTCTCACCTGCCACGAGAGTTGCGCCTGGCAGTAGCAGGCTGGCAAGCTGGGCATTGCCACTCACCATCTGGTACTTCATAGAGGGCCGGCCTCAGACAAAACAGGTGGAAGGCTTTATTACACTCATCACACAAGATCAGTTTGTCATCCTCACCTGCAAGAAGATAAACTTGTATGGCATTGTAGGGAACATGGCAACAGTCAAGGAGTTGGAAGAAAGAGCCATTTACCCTCAATTAACACTATAGAGGGAACAAAGATTCTAATACAATGCTACTACGTTTTATTTTTTAAATGCAGACATTTTCTGAAAAGAAATGTAGCACATATTAGACTGTAAGTAATTTAGGGCTTAGGTCTCCTGATTTATATCCCAAAATCTACCCAGGGCTAGGACAGGACAGTTGACATTTACTAAGAGGCAACAAAAAACAGTGATAGCAGGAAATTTTGCTGCTCCTTTCCCACTAAGAAATAAATCCCCTATTAAGTATTAAATTTTCTGCCCTTCTTCCTTCTGGACCCCCTAAACACATACATATCTGGTATGACTCTCTTAAAACACTTAAGTTTCCCTACGTTTGAAAATGCACTGAACCAACTAACATGGTCATTTCCCCTATCCAACCCTCATTCTAAATCAGTTCTTAGAGCAATGAAATTCTAGCCAAATTCACAAAAGAACTTTAGCCACTGAAAAGTGAATCACTGAGGGAGGCTTTTAGTCATGAAATTCCTTTTACACACATGGACTTTGAAAGCTTCAGCATTAAACTGTTCCCAAATGACTTGCTGTGTAGAATTCTTGCTGGAAAACCCAAAACTGAGTATTCTTCACAATGTACAAGTACTGCCCTCTGGTGGTAGCACCTGTCCTACTTTACAGATGACTAAAATTCAGAGACAATAAGATTAAAATGTTTAGGTTAACTAATTTTCTTCTCTGTATAAAATTTCTAGATTGGAGAGTAACTGCTCTTATTTTATACTCAATATTGGAGAACCAAGGGCCTACTCTGATTTGTGGACATGTGATTTCAGATTAGCATTTTATTATAGAACTTTATTATAGCAGGTAATATCTTACACCACATTTAAAAGCTGTGTATGCAAAACTCTTTAGGGGAGAAAAGATCTGGGTCAACAAGTAACAATTTCTGTTATATTCAAATAAGCAGCACTGACCTAAATATATACCTACCTTTCTTTCGACAAACTTTGCACCTAGCATTTTCTGCTGACATATCCCACTTAATACAGGCATCAAGCATCCCAAGTAGAACATGCATTCTGGAAAAGGTCTGAGCTTCACGGATGGCTGTCTTCCATTTTTCCAGAGCAGATGCAACCTAAACAGAGACCAAATCAGGCCAGTATTACTACAGGGACCTCAAAAACATAGATTTTTCACATAATACTGACAGAGTATACAGTGGAAGAGGACTAGGAATAGGTAGATACCAGAGAATTCTGAACACATTTACCTCCTACAACTCCTCCTGCCTAACTCCTTTATAAATCTTATAGAAGAAATCAAGGCTCTAAAGATGGAGTGAAATACTTGCCAAAGTCACATAAAGAATTAAGGGAGGGAAAATGCCAAAACTGGTTTGGCTCAGTGGTAGTGCGGTCTGCAGACTGAAGGGTCCCGGGTTCGATTCCGGTCAAGGGCATGTACCTTGGTTGTGGGCACATCCCCGGTAGGGGGTGTGCAAGAGGCAGCTGGTCGATGTTACTCCCTCTCATCAATGTTTCTAGCTCTCTAGCTCTCTCCCTTCCTCTGTGTAAAAAATCAATAAAATATATTAAAAAAAAAAAAAAAAGAATTAAGGGAGGGAAATAAATGGAGACACATCTCTTCTAGTGAAAACCACTTAAAGATTCAGTGTCATTTAAAAGCAGGAACCCTTGTACTGTGTAAACACTAGTATGCAATAATGTCACATAGCTGATAAAACTTTGGCTAACAAGATGACAGTTTCTGCACTCATACGTGCCACAACCCTAAATAATATTTACGAAACATTCTACAACCCTTAAAAAGTATTAAAGTACCCAGTAAGTAGCTCAGTTGGTTAGGACCTCTGTCCCAATACACCAAGGTTGAAGGTTTGATCTTCGGTCAAGGCACATAAAAGAATCAATTAATGAATACTTAAATAAGTAGAACAAATTGATGTTTCTCTACCTTCCTCTCTCTCTAAAATTAATCAATAAAAAACAAAATATGAAGTGTTGATACAACATATTTCTTTCAACACTATCACCAACTTCTAAGTAAAGTAAAAATTTAAAAGTCCCAGAAGTTAGCCTGACTTCATTCTGGGCAGTTAATCTCTGCATATTGCCTTCTCCATGATCATAAAATGCAAATTAAATTAGAATCAGCCAAGCAAAACATAGGATGATGGAAAATATAATCAGCAATTTTGATGATAAACACAACTGTCTTTGCTATGGTCGAGCATCTACCTAAACAAATGCTAATGTGGGGGGTTATCATTCTCAGATGGTCAGAAAATACAACAAAGATGGTCAAGGTAAAACTTAGGCAATTCAGCAGAAGCTGAGAGACTAGGTTATCTTAATATTCTCAACCTTGTGGAGGTCATATTGCTCAACTGTCATGACTGAACTAAGTGGATTAGCAATCTCTGCTACTTTTACAACTTGGGCTAGCTCTAGCTAACTGACAACACTATTGCTGGATTTCACTGCCCTGCCTTAGGCAAAAAGGTCTATTTTAAGGAATATAGTCTTCTTCCTATAGGAGAGCCCAGTTATCCTGGAAAGCCATAGGGGCTTTAAAATAGCTGCCAACGGACAAAGATAGTTGAGCCAATTCTAAAGCTGTGGTGTGAGGGAGAAAAAATAATGTCCTTTCTCTTTCCTACAGAAATAAAGAACCACAGAGCACTTCACAGGTATACATTTATGAATAGCAAGGATCATTTAAACACACACAAAAAAAATCTATTTAAGAGGCTGCTAATGTTCTAGGGGAAAGAGACTCATTCTTTATTCTAATCACCAACTGCAGATATTTCAACATCTGCCTTCGAAATACTGTACAGCACAATTTCCTTCCTTCCGTCTTTAGAGCTCCTCAGTAAAACATGGGGTCCATTATGACAGCTGCTGGTTTTCTTCCCTGTTGTAATGAAGAGCTAACATATAGTACCACACACTTTTCTTTAAATGAGTGCTATTAAAAACGGAGAGAAAATGGCTAAAATGGGCTTTGCTGTCCTCTAGTGGATAGTCAGATGCACACTGCATTCAAGAAAATGTCTTAGCATATAGTTATGCTTTTTTACTTCCTTAAATTATAGCTTATAGATTATAAATTTGAGTACTCAATAGCTCATTTGGCCTCTAAATTAAAAAACTCAGCCCAAGCCGGTTTGGCTAAATGGATAGGAGTGTCAGCCTGCAAGCTGTAAGGTCACAGATTAGATTCTGGTCAAGGGCATTATAGCTTGGTTGCAGCCTGGTAAGGGTGTGTGTGTGGAAGACAACCAACAGATGTGTCTCTCACATTGATGTTTCTATCTCTCCCTTTCATTTCTACTCTCTAAAAATCTATTAAAAAAAAAAATATCCCCCAGTGAGGATTAACAAAAACACTGCTAGGGATCCTGAAAATAATCTTAATTTTAAAACATTCATCATCCCCAAAAGAAACCTTGTACCCATTAGCATTCATTCCCTACGCTATCCCACCACATTTACCCAGACGGAAAGTAACCATTAACCTACTTGTGGTCTATAGATTTATCTATTCTGGACATTTCATATAATATCTAGCCTTCTATGACTGGCTTCTTTACTGAGCATGCATATGATACATCATAGCATGTATCAGCAGCACTTCATTCCATTTAAACTGCCGAATAATATCCATTGTATGGATATATCACACTTTGTTTATCCAATAATTAGTCAATAAACATTTGGATCATTTCAATTTTTTGGCTATTCTGAATAATGTTGCTATGAACTGTTTGTGGATATTTAGTTAATATTCATTTATTATTTTTTATGGAAAGAAATCTTACCCAAGGTCTCCTAACAACTTAGGACCAATTTATCCAGATCCAATGTTCTTGGCATTATTATACATACTAATCATAAGTGTCCTATTATATCCACCGAGTTATCCATCTAGACAGCCTAGACTCCAACCAGTCTCTAACTTTGAGGGCAAAAACATATGCACTCAAGATTTGAAAGAGCATTTTGGTCTTATCGCACTGCACAAAATTCTAAACAGTCCAGTACATTAAAAAACAAAACAAGCCCTGACCAGTTTAACTCAGTGGATAGAGCGTCAGCCTGGGGATTGAAAGGTTCCAGGTTCGATTCCAGTCAAGGCATGTACCTTGGTTGCAGGCACATGCCCAGTGGGGGTGTGCAGGAGGAAGCTAATCAATGCTTCTCTTTCATTGATGTTTCTAACACTTTATCCCTTTCCCTTCCTCTCTGTAAAAACAAAAAAAATCAATAAAATATATATTTAAAAATAAAAAACCCTATCATAGTCAAAACAGTGTGAGATTTTTTGTTTTGTTTTAAAATGTTTTTACTGACCTTATAGAAAGTAAGTGATAGAAACCAATGAGAGAGAAACACTGACTGGCTGCCTCCTGCATACCCCTCCTACAGGGGATCAAGCAGGAAACCTGGGCATGTGCCCTGACTGGGAATCAAACCTGTGACCTCCTGGTGCATGGGATGATGCTCAAACAACTGAACCACACTGGCCGGGCAAAAGTGTTTTTAAAATCAGATCAAGAACAGCAAAATATAAATTTTGACATTCAACACATCCAGTCTCTGATGAAAATTTCAAATTCTCTAGCATGTTTAAATAAAGTTGGTCCCTAGACAGAAGTGAGTATAATAGAACCAAGAAAAAGCCAATTTATATGCAGGTCCCTCCCCTAAAAGTAAAAAGGCAGTATATCTTGGCAAAAATATAAAAGGCCTCACACCATATTTTTCACAAAGAATGTATAAAGTGTAAAAACAGATAATCAAATTGTCAGGACAAAAGGAGCCAAACTAAGCAGAGAGCCTAACAGAATCCAGGATTTTGCCAAATTATACCATGTCTTTCCCATTTAGTACAAGAAAATGAAATAAACATTAAATATTCAAAGTCAATAACTATTACAAAAAACATATTTGAGAGATAATATTTTATAATAAGGAAACTGAAGCCTAGATTAGAGACTGATATTAGCTCATACAACAACCTAGTGCCAACTAAAAAAACCCTGACCCATGCTAAGTGGAAAACGTCAAAACAAAGGACAGTGGAAAATTTCGGAGCTGTGTCAAAGTTGACCTTTGGTGGGGAACTGAAGGACATAGTGCCATTTTAATGGAGAACATTGTTGAACTACTCAGTAGGCAACCTAATTGATTTTCCATGAAACTCTTCCATGCTTTCCATTTGTGTAATACACGTCTGGGCCCCAAGGTTAAACTTGCAAAGTGCTCATATTTTCTTCCCCAGTCAAGCTAAGAACCAAGTCTCATATGACAAGCTAAGAAAAGGTTACTTCACCATGGGGTTAAGCATTAAAAATAAAAATATAAGAAATCTACATCTAGTTCTCAATAAGAAAACATTACAGGTAAATAAATAGCAAAGAAAGATATCAAGAAAGAGACTCTTCTATATAAAACTGAGTTAAAAACAAAATCCATGCCGAAACTGGTTTGGCTCAGTGGATAGAGTGTCGGCCTGGGATCTGAAAGATCCCAGGTTCGATTCCGGTCAAGGGCATGTACATTGGTTGCGGGCACATCCCCAGTGGGGAGTGTGCAAGAGGCAGCTGATCGGTGATTCTCTCTCATTGATGTTTCCAACTCTCTATCCCTCTCTCTTAAACTCTCTGTAAAAAATCAATAAAATATATTTTTTTAAAAAATCCATGTAGTATTCAACAAAAGAGACTATTAACTATCTAATGTCTTAAACTTCATCTAGGTGACCTGGAGGCCATATAATAATTAAAAAGAACACAGGAAGGTGAGAACTAATCGTTATACGATAATGACATTATGTGAAGTTTCTAAGACTATGTCACAAATAAATTGTTCAACCTTTATTTAACTGAGTCTTAGTTCTCTGTTCTGCTTACCCTCTTTCCCAAAATGATCACATACTGGTATCACCTATGGCCCCAGGAAGAAACTAAGGGGGTACATGACAACTATGTTCAAATATCTGAGGAGCTTTAGACAACAGACTCATTCTATGTAAACTGAGAGGACAGCTGTAAAAGGCCAAGTTCAGCCTATGCTTCCCAGCATATGACAGTTTGGCTCAAATAAACTCACAAAATTCTTTTTAAAAAAAGAAGGAAAAAAAAGAGAAAGAAAATGGTGGTTGCCAGGGGTTGGGGTGGGATGTGAAATGGGTAGTTTAGTGTTTGAAATGAATAATTTCAGTTCAGGAAGATGAAAACTTCTGGAGGTAGATGATGATAACAGTTAAAGAACAATGTGAATATGCTTAATGACAGAACTGCACATGTAAAAAGTAGTTAAATTGTAAATTGCCTGTAATATATATATTTTACCACAATTTTTTTCATTTTTACTTTTTTAACTGAATTTATTGGGGTGACATTGGTTAACAAAACTATGTACCTAGGTTTCAGGTGCACAATTCTACAACACATCATCTGTACACTGTATTGTCTATTTTACCACAATTCTTAAAAATTTAAAAACCTTTACCATCTTTTAAAAAAAGGAATCAGTTCTGTGAAAGGGGAAGGGCATTCTGACCCATTATCCAGTCCTAGAGATAGGGCTGTGTTCCACAGACAAGCTTGAAAACCACAAACTTCAGGAAAATGACAAAAATGGCTCAGAGAGTAAGTAGTGTTTACAGTAGATAAAAATCATAGGTTTAGACTATTTAAAACCAAATCACTTTACACAATCATAAAATTACATCTTCATTAACTAGATACCTTTGCTTCCTCTGCCATTTTTTTCTCTTCATCCACCTCTTCAGTTTTTGATGAATCTTCACTCTGGAGTTTTCTTCTCTTTTGCTTGGGAGCCATGAAGCCTTGAAGAAATTTCTTTATGACACTGGCTTGAAGGGCAATTACACACTCACCAAAATCCTTCAGTTTCTCCAAAGAGATCACCTATAGGAATTGATTTAAAAACCAGGTTAAGAGAAAGGCTGAAAGATGAAAGGAGACTATCCTTGACTATATTCAAATCAACCTAGACACCAATGGGTCACATAACATTAGTTTAACTGGGTTCCTCAGTTCAATGGATGGCTTATGCATTTAAAAGTAGCTGACTACTTCCATTTCCCCAGTGAAGGGATCCACAAAATGCTGAAACTAGCTCTACTTAAGTTATCTGCTCAATTCTTTTGCTCAGTAAACTGAATGCCTATTATGTGTAAACCATAGTCCAAAGGCAAAGAAAAACTAGGAAGGAAAACTAAAGTTGTCCGACCTATTAGCTTACAAGCTATAAACTAAGTAATATGCTTTACATATGTGACTTCATCTAAGCCTCAATTTTTTTTTTTTAATGAATGAGGAATAGAAGCTAAATCATCTGGACCCAAATCATGTTCTTAAATACCAAACACTACTTTCTTTAGTCACACAAGACACACAATTAAAAGATGCCATTTTATAACTGCAAAGAGAAACAAAGATTGATGATAGCCCAATGCTAGTACAATATGGTCTGACACAAAGTAGGCACTTGGTAAATATTTTCTAAATAAATAAGAGTAAATGTAATATTTGAAAATGGCAAAGTTACTTTGGGTTGAATAATTCTTTTAAAAAATTAAAAAACATAAAGATATTTAAATTATTTTCCCTAGGAAATGTAACAAGAATTCATAAACAGATTAAAAAGAAAAAGTAGCATATGAGATGCATTTATAATTTGCTAATTCTAAAAGCAAAGAAAATGAAATACAAACTCTGACAGTAGAAAATTTAAAGTAGTATTAACTCCATGTGTTGTTATGACCTTAAGTGATATAAAAACTAAAAGAAAAAAACAAAAACTAAAATAGAAAGTTTATAAATTAAGACAAAGGACATTTCTGAGAAAGATGTAACTGCTCATAAAAATTATATAACACTCTGGGGAGGGAGGGTATGTATGGGAGGAGGGGCAATGTTAAAATATGTACACAGATAATAATTTAATAAATAAATAAATAAAATAAAAATTATACAACAATTACACCTGAAACTACTATAATATCATGTTAAGTGTAATTGAAAAACATTAAAAATGTTACAATACACATGCTATAATGCACATAAATAGTTTGAAAGGACCCACAAATATTGTTTAGAGTTAATATGGACTTTATTATTTTAAATTAGTAAAAAATATTTTATAATAATTGATGGATAGTATTTGCCAATCTAACAGTATGAGTACTACCCAATATAAGCATAACTCTCCTGAGTTAATCTAGTGTAAAGAATGCATAAAATTAGCTCTAGCCAGTTTGGCTCAGTGGATAGAACATCAGCCTATGGACTGAAGGGTCCTGGTTTCAATTCTGGTCAAGGGTACCTGCCTGGGTTGTGGGCTCAATTCCAGAGAGAGAGAGAGAGAGAGAGAGAGAGAGAGAGAGAGAGAGAGAGAGAGAGAGGGGGGGGGAGGGAGGGAGGGAGGGGAGAATGGCCAATCAATGATTTTCATCACTGATGTTTCTATCTCTCTCTCCCTCTCCTTTCCTCTCTGAAATCAATAAAAATGCATAAAAAAAAAGAATGCATAAAATCAGAGCACAACAAATGTATTTCAGACCTTCAAGCACAGGCATCACATGCTAATAAACATGTTAAATAATGTTACAGGGCTAGGGCTCCCGTACCAGTTAATAGAAAACCTCTTTTGAACAAAGGCTCTGAGCCAACTATTAGATTTTTGGAGATACCAGCAAAAGACAAAGGAAAAATACTTTATGTATATAGAGAATTTTCAGTTCCATGTGTCTTTCAAGATAAACCCAAACATATGATTTCCAGGATCACCAGGGAAGTCAACAACAGTATCAGGGGACAATTCCAACTTGGGTTTTCACAATAAAAGATTTCAAAGAATGTTTTCATATGTTCTTACTCGTGCTTCAAATTCCGATGTTTCTTCCACATAACCAAGACCTCCCTTTTGTAATCTTGTTGCAACTTCAATGAGATCACTACGAAGAAAGTTTAAGAGCTCCTGGTTGCCATCACAGGATTTTAGGCCCAAATTTGGCTTCCGGGCCAGGTGAATAGAGTGAACAATGTCCTGGTACCTAGAAAAGTTGGGGTAAGCAGGAGGGAAAATAAAGGAACTTTTGAAGAAGGTTCATAAATTTCAATTACTTGAAAAACATGTTTTATTTCTATAAGACATCTTTAGATTTTTCATCTCTTGGTAATTTTTAGTAGTCTAATGTTTCTTGCATAAAATTTCAAATTTCCCTTATTCTTGATTCATTTTAAAAACAAACTTATTTTGCAGAAACAGGTTTGGCTCAGTGGATAGAGCATCGGTCTGCAGACTGAAAGGTCCCAGGTTTAATTCCAGTCAAGGGCATGTACATTGGTTGTGGGCACATCCCCAGTAGGGGATGTGCAGGAAGCAGCTGGCCAATGTTTCTCTCCCATCGATGTTTCTAGCTCTCTATCCCTCTCCTTTACTCTCTATTAAAAAAATCAATAAAATATATTTTTTCAAAAACAAAAAAAATCTTATTTTATTCTATTTGATAAATATCAGTATCTAAAGTGGGTTGCTTTTCTTAGCTCTTATTCATGATACCTAGTTTGTATATTTTTAAACTTTTATTGGAATTGTATCCAAGTTTGTGGGAATTCTTTGAGGCCTGGTTTAAAGCTGTGCTCCTCTAGAGAGAAAGTATACTTGCTTATGTCAGTTGCCAAAAATTGCTACCAACCAGAGATAACTTTAAAGTATCTGCTTACATTCTTTACAACACAAAAGAAAAATGATTCCAACTGAAAACCTACATAAGGACCTTCACACTCACTTTTCCACTAATGATTAACCACTTAAGAGGTCCAGGCAAAGAAGCACTAAAATAGGACTCTCTACCTTGGATAGGGCCAACTTACTAGCTTCACTGTTGGCTTCCTATACGAAAATGAAATCTAAAGCTTAAGGTCATCTGAGTACTAAGTTCCCTATTCTTTCTTAATATTATGAGTTTTTAATATTATTTTCCTGAATACAACTTCATTGTTACTGGTGTTCTTATAAAGAACTAGAAGCCTGGTGCACAAATTCATGCTGGGGAAGGGCATGCAGGCAGCTGGCCAGCCGGCTTCACCCCTTAGTCAAACTCCCGGTGGAGGGGACAATTTGCACATTAACCTTTTATTATATAGGAAGAATTCTTTCAGCCCTAGCAGGTTTGGCTCAGTGGATAGTGTCAGCTTGTAGACCGAAGGGTCCCAGGTTTGATTCCATCAAGGGTACATGCCTGGGTTGCAGGCTTGATCCCACTGTGGGGCATGCAGGAGGAGCAGATCAATGATTCTCTCTCATCATTCATGTCTCTCTCTCTCTCCTCCTCTTTGAAATAAATAAAAATGTATTTTTAAAAAATTTTAAATAAAGGATTCTTTTAGTGTCTTCCATGTACAATATAATTTCCCTTTATTTCGTGTTTGATCTAATTGTTACCTAAGAATATATTTAACTTACTACCAGTTAAGATCTTTTTAATCATCTTTAAATAATTTATTTCTAATTTTATTGCAATCTGATGAATGTATCCTGAAGCTTTCTTCTACTTTTTTAATTTGTTGCGTTTGTTTCTGAGGCTATGTATATAAATGTTCATTGATATAACAAAAAAATTTACTTCTTTGTTTCCAAATAGCCTAGTATCCTTTGGTATACTTTTTTTTTTTTTTTAATTTTTATTGAGCTGTAACTGACTGTATACCCTTTAATTTATATCCATCATTTTATATATTTTCTAATAAAGACCATATATATATATATATATATATATATATATATATATATATGTATATCCTATCTAATAAAATAGTAATATGTAAATTGACCAATACACCAAGTTAAAAGATGACCACCACAAAATGGCCAGCAGGGGAGGGCAGTTAGGGTGACAGGGTCAGCAGAGGAAGGCAGTTGGGAGGGATCAGGCCTATAGGGGAGGGCAATTGGGGGGGGGGGCAGGCCTGAAGGAGAGGGCAGTTGGGGGGGACCAGATCTGCAGGGGTGTGCAGTTGGGAGCGATCAGGCCTGCAGAGGAGGGGCAGTTAGGGATGACCAGGCCGACAGAAGAGGGCAGTTGGGAGGGACCAGGCCTGCAGGGGAGGACAGTTGTGCGGGACCCAAGCCTGCAGGGGAGAACAGTTGGGGTGATCAGGCCTACAGGCAAGGGCAGTTATGGGTGACTGGACCAGACCAGGCTGGGCAGTTAGGGGCAATTGGGCCAGCAATGGAGCAGTTAGGCCATCAGGCTGGCAGGCAAGTGAGTGGTTGGGAGCCAGCAGTACTGGATTGTGAGAGGGATGTCCCAGATTGGAGAGGGTACAGGCTAGGCTGAAGGACACCTCCTCTTGCACGAATTTCGTGCACCAGACCTCTAGTGTGTGTGTGTGTGTGTGTGTGTGTGTGTGTGCGCGCGCACGCGCGCGTTTGCACGCATGTGCGTGCACATGCAGACTCTTACATTTTGAAAATGAAATGTATTTTAATAAACATTGCCTTTATAATTATTCAAAGTATTTATACATTTTGTGGAGATACCCTGTATATTTTTAATAAATCTGAACCTCAAATGGTTTGTGATGTATTAACTCATCACCTTCACTGCCCTCAGGGAATTAACTCAAATAACCACCACCAAGAGAACAGATAAATAAATTGGGGCAGAGTCACAAATATTAGAGTCATGGAATAATATAAAGGAAAATGGAGTTTGGTTATTTAAAAAATAAATAAATAAAAGAAAGAAAAGATGGCTCTTTAGTGCCAAGTAAAAAGCAGTAAGCCCCAAAGACTATATATACTGCTTGACAACTTTTTTAAAAGTTCAAAACCAAGCAAAACAATACAAGGTGAACATTTTTTTAATGTTCAACAAAACAAAAAAGTGTAAATTTTGTTTTTAATCCTGAAAATCTCTAACCTTTGAATGGAAGAATTGATCTGTTCATTTTTTTAAAAATATATTTTATTGCTTTTTTACAGAGAGGAAGGGAGAGGGATAGAGAGCTAGAAACATCGATGAGAAACATCCACCAGCTGCCTCCTGCACATCCCCACCAGGGATGTGCCTGCAACCAATGTACATGCCCTTGACTGAAATCGAACCTGAGACCCTTCAGTCTACAGGCTGGCGCTCTATCCACTGAGCTAAACCGGTTTTGGCGATCTGTTCATTTTTAGTGAACCGAGTAAGTCCTTTAAATCCTATGCATGTGCCCTAGTTGGTTTTGCTTAGTGGCTAGAGCATCGGCCTGTGGACTGAAAGGTCTAAGGTTCGATTACAGTCAAGGACACATGCCCTGTTGCAGACTTGATCCCCAGTTGGGGTTGTGCAGGAGGCAGCCAAATAATGATTCTCTCATCACTGATGTTTCTCTCTTCTTCTCCCTCTCTCTGAAATCAATAAAAAAAATATGTATTTTAAAGTCCTATGCATGTGCCTAGCAAACACAATAGAACCTTCCCTCTAAACTTCATTCATTCCAGAAAGCTGTTCAAGTAGCAATTTATTTAAAAATCGAATAATTTTTTCCCATTAGACATAATATAAGTTAATTCATTCCAGACACCCAAATGATTCCGTTTTAACCTTTCTTATATACAGCACATGTTTAATGTACTGTTTAATCTATAGACAAATACTTCTTGTCTTAAACAAATCACTTTCAATACTCATTCAAAGAGTATCTTTCAGGTCAGCATACAGCAACTTTGCTTGCAGTCATCAGCTAACTGCTTTTCATTTATACAAATGAACAAACTCTCTACCTCTTTAATTGTCCGTGATCACTGTTTCTTTCATACACTTAGCAACATTAGCACTCTTGATGGCCTTTTTATGTTTTAAAATTGTGCTAATTGTCCATTTCACCAGCAACAAAAGCAAAAATTACATGTACATTTACGGCATTATTTCCTGAGACACTTTTGTCACGATGATGTATATCAGCATAAAAGGGTTTCAGGCCGGGAACTGAAATTTGTTCACCAACCAAGATTTTTTCTTTGAACAACTTAGTTGAAAACAAAATTGTTCATTTGAGAACTGAGGGTTGACTATATTTTAATAAGATTCATCATAAAACTATATTCCTTTATGGTTCTATGTACTGACATTTTCCCTTGACTTTCTTAATTTTCCTATCACATATGCATTAATACAGCATGATTCTGAATATAATTTTAATTTTTCACATTAAGCAGTGGGCTAAAACAAATATGATGTATCCACAACCACTTACAAAGTCTTTTATTTTTCTTCTCTCAATCAAACTTAAATTCAACAATGAAAGCATGTAGTCAGAAATTAAAGGTAGCCTTAAACCAAAACTTTGTCCTAGCTTTGATGGAAACAATGCCCTAGAAAAGGAAGTACACTAACAAATCTTGATGGAGTTGACGCTAATTTTGTAGATAGCACAGCTCTTGTTTGGGGTTTGGGGTGTTTGGGGTTTTTTATTTGTTTGTTTTTTTGAGATGTAAGTAACGTAACATTAAACTCACCATTTTAAAAAGTATAAATATTTAGTGGTTTTTATGTTATGGAACTATCCAAACTACCTAAATTCCAACATATTTTTATCACCCCATAAAAAATCCCATAGTTGTTAGCAGTCACTCTCAGGTCTCCCCATCTTCCATTCCCTGGCAAATCTACTTTCTGTGGATTTACTTATTTTGGAAGTCTCATATAAATGGAATCATAAAATATGCGGTCTATTGCATCTGGCTTTTGACTCAGCATATTTTCTTGGTTCAACCACATTGTTGCATATATCAGCACTTTGTTCCTTTTTATGGCTGAATTTATGGATCTAAGAACAACATCTATCCATCAGTTGATGGACAACTAGACTGTTTTCATTTTTTGGCTATTTTGAATACTGACAGAATACTTTTAACCACTGCCTAACAACAAAGAGGATTTCAGTGTGGTGCATGGCATACATTATTCAATGACTAATCCTGTTACTCTGAATATACATGGTTTAAATCATATTTTTCTAAATAAGTATGATGTACCAAGAAAATACCAAGCAAAAGAAATATAAAAGTTAGATGTTTTAAAAAAATAATAGTTTTTAATGGATAAAAAAACACACACTTCTAAGACATTTATAATATCTAATGCTGAAGAAAATTAATATGTGAAGAGAAAGATGAAAATCCTTACCTCTTCTCTAGTCTTTCTTTAAGCTGACTTTCTCTTATTCCCTGAGGGTGAAGGCAATTTAACAACTCATCCAGTTCCTTCTGACTATCACATAAAAACCTGTAGGGCAAAACAGGCCTGAATAAGTGGGGGTGGGGTGTAGGGGTCAAAAGTCAAACACTAAGAAAGGTGTCTAAGGTTGGTGGTGGGAATTAGGAAAGCAGAATTCCAAACTTGCTCACAAGAACTAGTTTACTATTCCCATGTCTAATGTTTAACTTTATCCATGGATATTGGAGACAATAATTCCTACTAAAATATAATGAGACAAACTTTATCAAGCTATAGGCATATTTGTTCACGCACCTTCAAAGAGTAAAGTTGGATATTAAAAAAGATAAATGGTCATTAAACCAAAGGTTGTTAAAGCTAAAGCAGTGAATTGTAATCAGAGCTCTTTCAGAACCTAGCTCCCTGCCTAAAAGTAGAATCAACAAAAAGGAAAAATTAATGGCTATGTATACAGTTGTTTATTTTTTAATTAATGAAGATGAAAATGCTAAATATTTCTACTTGCAAATGGACTGAAAAGCGCTTCCAATGCTACATAAGATCTATCATATACAAGATTACATTTGGGGGGGGGGAATAATTCCAAAATTAGAGCAAATAAATATTCATCAAAAAATCAAGTCTGTTTTGCCCCAGCCAGGTCAGTTGGTTGAAGAGTTGTCTTGTACACCAAAGGGTTATGGGGTTCAATTCCTGGTCAGAGCACATACCTAGGTTTGCGGGTTCCATCCACTGTCTGGAGGCAACCAAATCAATGTGTCTCTCACATCGATGTCTCCTTCTCTCCCTTCTTCTCTAACATCAATAAAAATAAAAACATATCCTCAAGTGAGGATTAAAAAAAAAAAATCAACTCTGCTTTTAAAGCAATGAGTTTACATATCCAAGAAATCAAAGTAACACAAAATGATCTGAATGGGTAATCACTAAGTCACTGGTGTTAATATAGTAAATACTTTCTTAACTTTGAAATGAAAAAGAGCAGCCAGATGAATGCTCACATTACCATAGATTCTGTCCTTGTTTGGGTATGGTGGTCTCTACAGCAATTTCTGTTGCTGTTCCATGTTGTGTGTTCACGCTTGTATTTTTGCCTAGATTTGCTTTCTTATCTAAGAAAAAGTAATACATTAGGTTGAATATAGTAAATATCCAATTCTTACTGTTTCAAATCTAAGCAGTATAACATAGCACCAAATCTAATAACTAAAAACAGATGTTGCCTATTAAATATATCCACATGCACAATAGATGCTAACTTCTCTTAAGTATTTTACATAAAGCACATTATATATTTGTTCTCTATATAGTTGAATAGCTGTACAGTTCAAAGTTTAAGAGTTTTACAACTTAGAATGAAGAGAGCTAATTTTTATATCAAAGCAAATAACCAATTCTTATATACTAATATGTGACATTAATATATAGATCTTAAGCCAGTATTTGAAGCCTTACCTCATACTACAATTGGTTTGTTCCCCTGCTATTATTCTCCCTCCTACAATACAAACAATCTCTCCTTGTTTTTTTTGTTTTTTTTAATCTTTTCAGTCAGGTAATTTTGAAAAGAGCCTGCCATGCTGGAACTAGAGTTCAAGAAGCAACAATAGCCCTGGCTAGTTTGACTCAATGGATAGAGTGTTGGCCTACAGACAGAAGGGTCCCAGGTTCAATTCCGGGCAAGGGCTCATGCCCAGGTTGCAGGCTCAATCCCCAGTAGAGGATATACAGGAGGCAGCCAATCAATGATTCTCTCTCATCATTGATGTTTCTATCTCCCTCCTTCTCTGAAATCAATAAAAATATATATTTTTTAAAAGAAGCAAAAACACCAGGATGCTCTAGAAGTGAAAGGATTTGGATGCCAACCTTCAAACAGAAAATTCTGCCGAAACCGGTTTGGCTCAGTGGATAGAGCGTTGGCCTGTGGACTGAAAGGTCCCAAGTTCGATTTCAGTCAGGGGCATGTACCTTGGTTGTGGGCATATCTCCAGTAGGGGGTGTGCAAGAGCAGCTGATCGATGTTTCTCTCTCATCGATGTTTCTAGCTTTCTATCCCTCTCTCTTTCTCTCTGTAAAAACTCAATAAAATGTATTAAACAAAAATTCTAATTGTGTAGGCCCAACTTCTAAGGACAGCCACTAAACACATTCACAGTCTCTCAGTCCACTAGAAACTGTCCTATGTCTGAAGAGCCTGACCTCACATTTACTGCTCTCAAATATTAATTGCCCTCACCTGGGTATTTACAGTCTACCAGAACTAGATTTTTCTAGTAGTACTACAATTTGGCACTTAATATATTTTAACAGGAAAATTTGAAGTTTGGGCTATATATTAATTTCCTTATTTATCTATTCTGTGAGTATATAGTTTAGATTATGTTATTATTAAAAGAAAAAAAATACTTTAAAAAAATTAAGAGATTTCTCAAAAACACACACATATAATCTAACATTTCAGAAGCAAATTTTATTAAGTTATAGAAAGTAGAGCTGGCCCTGGCCCGTGTGGCTCAGTGATTGAGTGCCGACGTATGAACCAGGACGTCATGGTTCGATTCCCAGTCAGGGCACATTTTGGGTTGTGGTTTTGATCCCCAATGTGGGGTATGAAGGAGGCAGCCAATCAATGATTCTCTATAATCACTGATGTTTCTCTCTCTCTCTCCCTCTTCCTCTCTGAAATAATAAATAAATAATAAAATGAAAAATTCAGATGGTTAGGTTAGATCAGGTCAGGCTTTCTCAATTTCAGCATTACTGACATTTTAAGCTACATAATTCTTTGTAGTGGGGGTGGCGGTGTTATTTACACACTGAAGAGTATTTAGTGGCATCCCTGGACTCAACCGTCAGTGTCAAAAGTGACAACCAAATATGTGTCTGGACATTGTAAATGTCCCTTGGGAGGCAACATGACTTCCTGTTGAACCACCAGGTTAAATGATTCACAAGCTCCCAGCTCCAATTTATCTCTCTCCCCACATAAACACACACATATCCTATATAATCATCCCATATTATAAAAGGTTAATATGCAAATTGACCAAATGGCAACTGGTCACTATGATGCGCACCAACCACCCAGGGGCAGACACTCAGTGCAAGAACTGCCCCCTGGTGGTCAGTGCATACCCACAGGGGGAGCGCCACTCAATCAGAAGCCCTAGCAAGGCTCAGAACTGGCATATGCAGCAGCAGTGCTAAGAATGTCCATCAGTTTGATATCCCCTGAGGGCTTCCAGACTGTAAGAGGGTGCAAGCTGGGCTGAGCCCCCATCCCTCCAACACACACACACACACACACACACAAACACACACACACACACACACACACACACACACACGAAGCCAGGTGCAAAAAATTTGTGCACAGGTAGAGCCCCTAGGCTTGGCAGGCGATCAGGGCCCTTCAGGTTCCCTGTCTCCTCCTTCCCTTGCTCCCTCAGAGCTCTGATGCTGCTGATGGTTGACTGCCATGTTCCATGCTGCCCCCTGGTGATCAGTGCATATCACAGCAAGCAATCGAACTCTCAGTCCAATTCCCAAGGGGACAATTTGCATATAAGGCTTTTATTATATAGGGTGTGTGTGTGTGTGTGTGTGTGTGTGTGTATACACACACACATACAGACACTTTTCAAGAAAAAAAAATAGAAAATATTTAGAAAAGTACATTTATCTATTTATTTTGCCAAGTGAATATAACCAGAACCCAGACAAGAAAAAAAAATTATCTTATTTGTTACTTTGTACCACAGCACATGAAAAATTGGTAGGCACATAAAAGATAATCCATAAATATTGAATGAATGAATTTTAAAAGTAAAGGAAGAAGACATATAACTGCAATCTTGGCCCCCTTACTTTAATTCTAACCTTTCCAGTACCTAGAAAAAGCTTTCTAAAGAACCAAGTTTGAGCCAAAATCAATTTGGCTCAGTGGCAGAGCATCAGTCTGTGGACTGGAAGGTCCCAGGTTCGATTCCGGTCAGGGGCATGTACGTTGGTTGCGGGCACATCCCCAATAGGGGGTGTGCAGGAGGCAGCTGGTCGATGTTTCTCGACGTTTCTAGCTCTCTTATCTCTCTCCCTTCCTCTCTGTGAAAAATCAATAAAATATATTTTTTTAAAAATTTAAAGAACCAAGTTTGAAAACTACTCATATAAAATTTAATACCTAAACAAGATGTTATACTTGTGTAGATTTTATACAAGTAGTTTTCAAACTATCTTTCCACACAATGCCTGGAATAAAATTGGTAATCAAATGTGTTTCTTCCCTTTTTGTGCATTTCACATTCTCCCACCCCACTCAAATAGATCTACCTAAGAAAGCAGCAAAAAAATCTTACAGCCCTAGTCAATCTGGCTCACGGGACATAGCATCAGCCCATGAACTGAAGAGTGCGTTTGATTCTGGCCCAGGGCACGCATCTTGGTTGCAGGCTCCATCCCAGCCCTGGTTGGGGCATGTGAGGGAGGCAAGCAATCAGTGTGTCTTTCTCACATAGATGTTTCTTTCTATCTCTACTCCCTTTACTCTCTCTAAAAATCAATGGAAAAATATCCTCCAGTGAGGATTAACAACAGAAAAGATGACAGAGAACAGACAGTTCTTATTTACCATACTTAGGAAGGGTAAAATAACTAACAGATATACATACTCCGGGGACAGTAATCCTCATCAGGTGAGTCAGCATGGTCTTTGCGATGATGTCTGAATCGGTAGTCAATGCTGTCATGTACCCAGCCTTTTTCAATGAACAATCCTGGAACTTCATCTGAGAAGAGCCAGTATCTATAAATCACAACCACATATTAATAAGATAATGACAGGCATGAGCACAAGATGACTTTATTGTTGGGAAAGACGATTAAAGAATATTACTAAACATTCAGAAATACTATACAAATTATAAAGTAAGACAAAGAATACCAAAATGTTTAGAATTCGAGACTTCTCTAAAATCTGTAATTTTTATAACTTCTAATGTCTTGACTTTATACTCCATACAATGTATACAGCATTTAAAATACAATACCATTTTTTTTTAAAGTCCTCTATTTGGATCACATGTCATCTATCATACTTTAAGCTCCATATTTGTGATATATTAAGAACAAGATCATGTCTTTATTTAACTTTGTAACCCTAGCATTTGGCATATATTCAATAAATACTCAATGAATGTGTGATGAATTGTTTCCAAAATCCATGAATAGCAAAGCTTACTATTTTTAGTACTTTTGACAGTTTTATAACTAGTAAAGGCTCTAACAAGATGACAAAAAAATTAAGTTTAGTAATTTACCTATTATGGTTCCGATCTGTACCAATAGGAGTCCTACGCATGACTAATTTTGCCTTGGCAATTCCCTCCTGGAATGCCTTCTCAGCAGCTGCTTTGTGTTTTCGTATTCGTTCTTCTTCAGCTTCTCGTTCTAGTCTCACTGTTAAAGAAAAGAAAAGCCAACTAGACTTTTTTTCCCCCCTAGTAAATTCAACTCTTACAAATTAAATCACATATGAAGCTCTAGCCAGTATGACTTAGTGGTTGCAGAGTCAGCCTCCAACAGGTTACAGGTTCAACTTCTAGTCGAGGACATGTATCTCAGTTGCAGGTTTAATCCCTAGCCCCAAGGTGGGACGAGTGCCAGGGGCAACCAATCCATGTGTCTTTCTCACGTTGATGTTTCTCTCTCTAGCCCTCTCCCCCTCAACTCCCACTCTCTAAAAATCAATGGAAAACATATATTCAAGTGAGGATTAAAATAAATAAATCACATATGCAGTGAAGTGTGCCTGGTATAAAGTATATTTTCATCAAACCTTAAGTTTCCTTCTCCTAATTCTAGTATGTTATAAGAAATGACATGACCAAAACCGGTTTGGCTCAGTGGATAGAGTGTCGGCCTGCGGACTGAAAGGTTCCAGATTCCGGTCAAGGACACATACCTTGGTTGTGAGCACATTCCCAGTAAGGGGTATGCAGAAGGCAGCTGATAGATGTTTCTCTCATTAATGTTTCTAACTCTCTATCCCTCTCCCTTCCTCTCTGTAAAAAAATCAATAAAATATATATATTTTAAAAATGACATGTAGCCCAGCCAGTATTGCTCAGTGGTTTAGCATTGTCCTATGAACCAGGATATCATGGTTCCATTCCGTTAGATCACATGCCCAGGTTGTGGGCTCGATCCTCAGTGGGGTGAGTCTAAGAGGTCAACAATCTAATTATCTCTCCTCATTGATATTTCTACTCTTCTCTCCCTCTCCCTTCTTCTCTCTTGAAATTAAAAAAAAAAAAGACATTTAAAGGAAGCAATTTCTATCAGGCCCTCCTATGTTCTTTGAATTTTGGTGATGCCTCAGCCATCATAAAAATCTTTTCTCTCCCAAGTTTAACTTATTAATTTTAATAATTAAGTTGATTTTATTTTATTAATAATTTAAAATGTAAACTTAAAACCGTTCTTAAATGGAATTGAAAATGTTATGACAGGACCATCACAGGATCCTCATAATGATTGTGATAAAATCAGAATAGTATTTCAAAATAAAACAAATTTTTGCTTTGAGGAATTTGATAGTATACCTTATTAGCCTTAGCGACCAAAAAAAATTAACTATATTTTTAGTTAACACTGTAAAGGTTTTAATCAATTTATTTCTGATCATTGATTATATGGGTTTATTCTACCCAGATAGAAATTCCCCTTAACAAAAGAAGCCCAGTAATCTTGCCTTTTAAGTTTTTCCATAATCATCATAAATTTTGATACTGTAATTATCAAATGCATTACTATTTACAATGCCAGAACTTTTAACACTCATCTTCTATAGGTTATAATATCTACAATATGGTGAGAATTTGGAAAATGCATCAATCTCATTTATTTGAAACCAACATGGTATCTCATACCATATATTAAAATTAACTCAAAATGAATCAAAGACCTAAATGTAAGAGCTAACACTATAAGACTTTTAGAAGAAAACATAGGGGTAAATCTTCATGGCTTTGTATTTGACAATGAATTCTTAAGATACGACACCAAAACCGCAAGCAACCAAGAAGGGGATAAATTGGGCTTTATAAAATAATTTAAAATTTGTGCTTCAATGGACACTATCAAGAAAGTAAAAAGACAACACATAATATAGGTGAAAATATCTGCAGATCATATATCTCAGAGGAAAGGAATTTGTAGCTCGGTGATACAAAGAACTCTTATCACTCAATAATAAAAGACAATCTGATTTGAAAATGGGCAAAAATCTGAATTAACATTTCTCCAAAGAAGTATACAAATGGTGAACAGGCACATGAAAAGATGCTCAACATCACTAATCATCAGGAAATGCGTATCACAGTTGTTGCCTGAAGTACAAACCTTTTTGTATCTTTTGAATTTTTGAGCCATGCAAATGTATTGTTTATTCCAAAAATAAATAAAATTTGCATTTTAAAAACTTTTTTAAAAAAGGAAATGTGTATCAAAACCTTAACAAGATACCAATTCTCAACCACTAGGATGGTTATAATGTACAAATCATAAAATTACAAGTGTTGGTGAGGATGCAACAAGTGGAGAAGTCAGAACTCTCATACACTGTTCATAGGAAAGTAAAATTGTACAGTCATTTGAAAAATAGTTTATCAGTTTCTCTAATGGTTAAACAGCTACCATAAGACCAAACAATTATGTTCCTAAGAATACACCCAAGAGAAATAAAAAGATACATGCATACAAAAACTTGTACACCAATGCTTTCAGCAGACTCATAGTAACCAAAAAGGAAGAAACAAACTAAATGTCCACCAAATAAAATGTGGTATATCCAATAAATGGAATAGTATTCTGCTATTAACCTGTTAACTGAGCGGGACCTATAAATACGTCAAACGTAAACAATATCGGGAACAGGTAGGACGTATTCATGCGTCCTGGAAATATATGTTGCGTCCTGAGATGGTATATATTTTTTGTAATCTTTATAATTGTAAAATTTATAATTTTTTAATTCGATGTTTCCATTTTTTTGTTGGTATTCTTTTCTATTTTTTTTGTAATTTTGTATTTTCATTTGTGCTTTATATATAAATAAATGAAAAAATATATATATCATTTATTTTAATTAAGTATAAATAAAAATAATATGAAATTACGTCCTCCGGGCGTGATGTACTGACACGTCCTAGTGAAAGAGTATGCGCCCATTACAGGTTGCGTAATTAAAAAGGAAACTCCCCGGTTAACAGGTTAAAAGGAACAAAGTACTGCCTTAGCGGGTTTGGCTCAGCGGATTATCTGACTGTGAACCAAAGGGTCCCAGGTTCAATGCCAGTCAAGGGTATATAGGGAGCAACCAATCAGTGTTTCACATATATCAGTATTTCTCTGTCTTTACCTCTCTTTTTCATTCTCTCTAAAAATCAATATAAAAATATCCTCAGGTGAGGATTAAAAATAATAATAAATAAAAATGAAGTACTACTGAAACATGCTACACCATGGATGAACTTTGAAAACATTATATATACTAAGTGAAAGAAGCCAATCATAAAGATCACATCTTATGTGATCCCATTTATATGTTATGTCAGAATAGGCAAATCTAGAGAAACAGTAGTAGACTGGTGGTTGCTTGGGCCTAGGAAGGATAGGGAGGTAGGGTGATGATAACTAAAGGGTATAGAGTTTCTTTTTGCAGTAATGAAAAAATTAAAGGTCTAAAACTGTGAAGGTTGCATGTCTGAAAATATTTAAAAATACTGGCCAAAACCGGTTTGGCTCTGTGGATAGAGCATCAGCCTGCGGACTAAAAGGTCCCAGGTTCGATTCCGGTCAAAGGCAAGTACCTTGGTTGCGGGCACATTCCTAGTAGGGGTGTGCAAGAGGCAGCTGATCGATGATTCTCTCTTATCAATGTTTCTAACTCTCTATCCCTCTGTAAAAATCAATAAAATATATATTTTTAAAAATACTGAATTGTACAATATCAATGGAAGAACTGCATGATATATGAATTAACTATAATAATAAAAGCATAATATGCTAATTAGACTGGACATCCTTCAGGACCACCTTCCAGACGAAGCCAGAGCTATAAAGGGAAGCCCAGGTCCCAGGTGCCGGATGCCTGCTGGCAGCCAGAGGGAAGTCTGGGTCTCAGGTGCCATTGGGAGCCAGTGTTGGCAGCAAGGGGGGAGAAGGGGTACTCTTGCACGAATTTCCTGCATCGGGCCTCTAGTTTACTAATAAAGCTATAAATTTAAAAGTTCAGATTTAGCCCTGATTTAACTCAGTGGATAGAGCATAGGCCTGTGGACTCAAGGGTCCTAGGTTCAATTCCGGTCAAGGGCATGTACCTTGGTTATAAGTACATCCCCAGTAGGGGGTGTGCAGGAAGCAGCTGATCGATGTTTCTCTCTCATTGTAGTTCCTAACTCTCTATCCATCTCCCTTCCTCTCTGTAAACAATCAAAATATATTTTTAAAATTTAAAATAAAATGCTTTAAAATAAAAAAAAGTTCGGATTTATCCCTGGCTGGTTTGGCTCAGTGGACAGAGCTTCGGCCTGATGACTGAAAAGTCCTGGGTTCTATTCTGGTCAAGGGCACATGCCGAGGTTGCAGGCTTGATCCCCTGGGGGCATGCAGGAGAGGCAGCCAATTGATGTTTTTTTCTCCGCCCCCCCCCCCACTTCCTCTCTGAAATCAATTAAAAAAAAAAAAAGTTCAGCCCTAACTGGTTTGGCTCAGTGGATAGAGCGTCAGGTTTGATTCCAGTCAAGGGCACATGCCCAGGTTGTGGGCTTGATCCTGTGTAGGACCTGTAGGAGGTAGCCGATCCATGATTCACTCTCATCATGGATGTTTCTATTTCTCTCTACCTTCCACTCTGAAATCAATAAAAAAATATATTTTTTAAAGTTCAGATTTAATGGTGCTATCAAAACCCCAAATTTTTATGTTCTTATATCTTAAGGGCAACTGTGCAGAGGCTTCAAGTACCTTATTATTCAATTGTTACAACAATCTTTATCAATGGTTCAACAATCTTTACAATCATACAAGGAAACTGAGGCATAGATAAATTGACCAAAGAATATAGCTAAGTCAGTGGTAGAATTTGAACCCATATCAGCAACTGTCTAGTCGTATGTTATTTCCACTGTACCTATTTGTGGATTTGGTCTAAACTAGGAAACTCAGAAAAGATGTCAACATCATATTATCTATGTCAAATTATCATTAACTACAGAAGGCCATACTGAACACTTCTGTTGGAATATTATATACATAGTAGGGCCTGAGTTATTATAGAGATTTTACCATTACCTCAGTAATTTCCTTACTTTTACTATCTTTTAAAGCAGGGGGAGGGAACCATTTTTCTGCCAAGGGCCATTTGGATATTTATAACATTATCTGTAGGCCACACAAAATTATCAACTTAATAATTAGCCTGTTATATTTGGTCAAGCATTTCATGAACTCACCCCTAATGCCTTGGCAGGGCCAGGACAGATGTTTGGGGCCTTACAGGGCCTGCTGGCTAGATGTTCCCCACCCCTGTACTAAAGGGCTTCCTCTTTTCTCTCATCATAAGATTTTACCTTTCATTTCTCTCTCCTGGATTTCCCGCTCCTTTTTGGCCTGAATGGCCAGCAGCCGTCTGCTCTTCACAGTACTAATAATGTCAACAGCTTCTGTATCTACCTGGGGCTCAAACTTCACAACTTTTTTCCTATCGATTTTGCCTAACCCATTCTCCTCTTTTCCATTTTCTTTATTTCTGGCTTCCATTTCTTTCCGTTTCTGTTTCTCAGCTCTCTTCTTATCATTTTCTTCCTTTAATACAGCAAGCCGTTCCTTCCACAACTCTGCAGACATCTGCTGTCTTGTTTCCATGTGGTCTTGCACTGAATATGTCATGAGAATCCGGTGGCAGAGTGCTGCCAAGATCTGTAGCTTCTCTTCTGATGTTAGCTCAAAAAATTCAGAGGTTTCCAGCTTCTCTAAGAACTCATCTTGCACTTCATTGTCCTCAAATGGTGCTGAATCTTTATTGTCATCTGTGTCTGAGCCCTCACTTTCTTCCTGAACATCAGACTTGCGCAAGCAGAGCCGCACCAGCTCTGAAACAGAATGCAGAGTCAGGGGGATTTCTGAAAGCTTCATTCCCAGCTCACCATAGTCTTCTGCTATTTCATCTTGTAATAAAGTCTGTAAAAGGATGACCAAGACTCTATTCAGGTATAAAAAGCCACCTTTTTCTGCACTCAAGGCTTCCATAAGGGACACAGCAGTAATAGGATACTGAGCATCTGGTAAGAGTAGTCCAGAATAACAGCTCAAAAATTCCACCACCATGGCCACATCTCCAAAGAGTGTGTTGGGCAGCCCTTCAGGGGTATCCACCAATCTAAATGCTGGAAGATGTTTGCCTGGTAATTCTTGGTCCTCGTATCGTTTCTGTTTTTCTAGTTTCTCAAGCATTTCTTTCTCTCTACGCTCTTTGGCTTTCTCCTTCAACTTTTCTCTCAACTCCTCTCGTTTCTTTTTCAAATAGTCTTTGCGTTGCTCTTCAGACATAGAGGCCCACCTTTTTTTGTGCTCTAGAAGCTCAAAGCGTTTTTGAACAATATTCCGCAATTCTTCTGGGAGACGTGCTCTATCTTCATTAGAAAGGAGACGAGCTGTCTTAGAGATAACACAAGACAGGGCAGTCTTCTTGTCCTCCCTGTCTTTGTTTTCTTTGTAGTAGGCAATAAGGTGCAGGGCAGCGGGAGGCAGATGCTTATGAGGTTTACTAGAGGACCTGGGTGTACCCCCAGAATTCCGGGGGGCTCGTGTCATCTTCTGAGTGCCTTTGGCCATATCCAACAAAGTCATCTGCTTCATTTTGGTTTTAGGAGTCTTCAGGCCCTTTTTCGGAGATCTGGAATTTCCTGTGGATTTCTGTCCATTCAGGATGCCTTTGCTTCTGCCCTTTGTTTTCAAAGGTTTGTCATTATGCTTCCCTGGTTTCTTGGCAGATGGGCCTTTCTTAGGAATGTGAAAGTTAGCATGTAATTTGTTGGTTGACATCATCTTCATCACTTCTTCCAGATGTTCTTCTGGAGATTTGGAATTCTTTGAGTTCTTCACCTTGAGTGGTGAGCCATTCAAGGATTTCTTCAAGTGTACATGACACCATAACTTAGGATTTAGTGGTGAACTCAAGGAAGAGTTATCTGTCTTGGATTTCTTTGAGGGCTTCCTGTCTGGGGATCCAGTATTCTTCCTCTTAGTAGAAGGGTTGAGAGTCATATACTAGAATTTAAGAAGAGAAGCAAAATTAATTTTAAAAACTAATTTAAAGAAGCAATATTTAAGTATCTGAAAGGCCCTCTTTTCTGCTATTCAGATAAACTACAAATTTATTTCTCTTTATGTTCCTGAAAAAACAAATGTTTTAGCCATATCAATACAAAATTCTCTTGATACATAAGTTTAAAAAGCAATACTCTAATATTAGACATTTTTGCTATGCAACTAGCTTTCTGTTTATATACAGATTAGCAGTTCTTAAATACTTGAATGAACTGTGGACCACTTCCCCAGAAAAGACATATAAAAATTATGCAAACAATTTCCAAGTCCATCCATTAATCCCAGGTTAAGAATAACCTGATTTAGCCCTAACCAGTCTGACTCAGTGGATAGTGTCAGCCTGTGGACTGAAGGGTCCCAGGATTGATTCTAGCATATCAAGGGCATATGCTCAAGTTGTGGGCTCATCCCCAGTAGGGGGCATGTAGGAGACAGCAGATCAATGATTATCTCTCATCATTGATATATATAGTAAAAAAAAAAAAAAAAAAAAAAAAGAATACCTGATCTAGCCCTAGCCAGTTTGGCTCAGTATATAAAGCATCAGCCTGCAGACTGAAGGGTCCCAGATTCAATTCCAGCCCAAGGCACGCCTCAGTTGCAAGCTCAATACCCAACCCTAGTTGGGCACGAGTGGGAGGCATCAAAGTGTTTCTCTCACATTAGTGTTTTTCTCTCTCTGGGTCTCTCCCCCTCTCTTCCACTCTCTCTAAAAATCAACGGAAAAATATCCTTGGGCCCTAGCTGGTTTGGCTCAGTAGATAGAGCGTCAGCCTGCAGACCAAAGGGTCCTGTGTTTGATTCCGGTCAAGGGCACATGTCCAGGGTTGCAGGCTTAATCCTCAGCAAGGGACGTGCAGGAGGCAGCCAATCAATGATTCTCTCTCATCATTGATGTAACTATCTCTCTCCCCCCTCCCTTCCTTTCTGAAATCAATTTTTTAAAATGTATTAAAAAAAAGATATCCTTGGATTATTAACAAAGGATTAACAGAGTATCTGATATAGATAAGGGAACATGTGAGAAAATGTAAAAGTATTGCTCTTTTTATTATTATTATTGATTTCAGAGAGGAAGGGAGAGGGAGAGAGATAGAAACATCAACAAGATAGAATCATCCATTGGCTGCCTCCTGCACGCTGACTACTGGGGATCGAGCCTGAAACCTGGGCATGTGCTCTTAATTGCAATCGAATGTGGGACTCTTCAGTCCACAGGCCAATGCTTTATCCACTGAGCCAAACCAGCGAGGGCTAAAGTATTGCTTTTGAGACAGGTCTGGTTATCCTTTAAGCCTTTGTTCCAACTGGGAATATTCTATGCTCTTAAAAGTTTACATTTAAAGTTTACCAGTAAGTATTTTTGTCTAAAATACAAAAGCCTATTTTCTTATTAAAGGTATCAGTGAGGCTCTGGCCGGTGGTGCTCAGTGGTAGAGCGTTGGCCTACACACCAAAAAGTCATGGATTCTATTCCCGGTCAAGAGCATGTATAGGTTGCACGTTTATTCCCTGGCCCTAATTGGGGTGCATACGGGAACAACCAATCAATGTGGCTTTCTTATATCAATATTTCTCTCTCTCCATTTCCCCAGTTTTCCCTCTCTAAAAACCAATGGAAAAAATAACCTGAGATCAGGAATTTTTTATTTTTTAAGTATCAATGAGTATACTAACAACAAAGACAGTGTTCTCATGACCCTGACAGCATAATTCTTCAAACTCCCTTTTGACCTTTCTCCATACCTTAAGAACTCATTCCCTTGAATATATTAGTAACTATAAGCCCTCTAAATTCTCAATTTCATTTCAATCTTTTTGTTCATCCTCTCACATCTTTCTAGTTCACTTCCTCTAGTACCCCAACTCTGTAATCCTTCAATCCCACCAAGCCCTCAAAATCTGTTAATTTTATCATTTTCACTGGGTTCACACTTCCCTACCTTCTAACCCAGATTAAATTCTTTTGTCTTGCTTGCTCTATTATATCTAATAACTCTTGACCTGCACATGTTCAGTTAAAACATGACTAAAACAGCCCTGGCCGGGTAGCTCAGTTAATTAGAGCATCATCCCAATAAGCCAAGGTTTCAGTTCAATCTCCAGTCAGGCACATACAAGAACCAACCAATGAATACATGAATAGGTGAAACAACAAATCTCTCTCTCTCTCAAATCAATAAATAAAATTTTAAAAAAGAAACATGACTACTAGAATAAAAGATACAATGACATGTGATACTTCATATGGGTCCTGAATGCCTCCCCATTAGTCCATTCACTTTCCCATATTTCTAGATATACATCTTTTCCTGTGTTTTTAAACCTCTATCTTATCCCTTCCCATACAAAATTTATTAATAGGTTAGAAATAAATCAACTTGTTATAATCATTGTTTCTGTATACTTAAAAACAAAACACTTGAGTTCTGTTTTAAAGAATTTAACTATAAAGGAAAAAACCTAGCAGCTAAAACATAAATTAAATGAAATAACCAGCAATGAAAAGGTATAGCCAATTTCACAAGAAGTACTGTTTCAAATGATCAGAAGAAAGACTAGATAACAGCCGAAACAGGTTTGGCTCAGCAGTAGAGCGTCGGTCTTTGGACTGGAAGGTCCCAGGTTCGATTCCGGTCAGGGACATGTACGTTGGTTGCGGGCACATCCCCGGTGGGGGGGGTGCAGGAGGCAGCTGGTCGATGTTTCTCTCTCATCGACGTTTTTAGCTCTCTATCCCTCTTCCTTCCTCTCTGTGAAAAATATATTTAAAAAATATATATTTAAAAAAAAAAAGGACTAGATAACATTTAGAATACTTAAATTCTAAAACACTTCAAGTTTTTTAGTGGAAGGGCCTAATTTGATAAGAGCTACATGTAAAGAAACAGTCTGGCCCCAGCCTGTTTGGCTCAGTGCATAGTGTGTCAGCCTGTGGACTGAAAGGTCCTAGGTCCGATTCTGGTCAAGGGCACATGCCTGGGTTGCGGGCTAGATCCCAGTAGAGGGTGTGCAGGAGGCAGCTGATCAATGATTTTCTCTCATCATTGATGTTTCTGTCTCTCCCTCTCCCTTTCTCTCTGAAATCAATCCTATCCTATATAATAAAGCCCTAATATGCAAATCAACTGAATGGAGGAACCGGTCGCTATGATGAGCACTGACCACCAGGGGCAGATAACACAGAAGTTTCCCCCTGGTGGTGAATGTGCTCAAGGCTGGCAAGTGAAGCAGTGATGGCAGGAGTCTTCCCACCTCCGATACAGGCTGGCAATGAGGAGCAAGGGGTCCCGGACTGTGAGAGGGATGTCTAACTGCCTAAGCCAGCTGGTGGACATCCCTGAAAGGTCCCAGACTACAAGAGGGCACAGGCTGGGCTGAGGGGCACCTCCCACCCCCAGTGCACAGGCCTCTAGTAAATCCATGCACCAGGCCTCTAGTAAAAATATATTTAATAAAAGAAACAGTCTAAACAGTTGATTAGAACATTGTCCCAATATGCCAGTGAATTTGATCCTCACTCAGAAACAACCAGAGAATGCAAAGATGAGTGGAACAACAGATCTAAATAAGTAAATACATACATACATAGCAGGAAAGCAGTCTAGAGGCAGTCAGTAAGATAGGTTAGTGAGAAATCAGACTATAGGCAAGGAAACACCTAAAGACTATTGAATATTAAATTATGAGCCCCTTTAAAAAGCTATAGGAAAATGGCTATGGTGAAATAAATCCCAGAGATGATACAGAGAATCACCTATGCTCGTTAGGAGTAAACAAGCAGGCAGAGTAAAATTTAATAAGGTATACTATAATGCCAAAAAGAAGTAAACAAGAATATAATCAGAGAAACAAGCTCACAGAACCAAAGAGACATAAATACAGTCTGCAATAAATAAATGGCCTTATACTTCTTCTGGCCAAGTTTTTTAACTTTAAAGGCCAAACTTCCTTTTAAGAATTACAGGCAATTGTAGGTTACTGTTCCTCTAGCTGGCTGTTTTAGTTGCCTGACTAAAAAATTGGTTTCAGCTGAAACCGATTGGCTCAGTGGATAGGCACCAGCCTGCGAACTAAAAGGTCCCAGGTTCAATTCCGGTCAAGGGCATGTACCTTGGTTGAGGGGACATCCCCAATAGGGGTGTGCAAGAGGCAGCTGATCGATGATTCTCTCTCATCGATGTTTCTAACTCTCTATCCCTCTCTCTTCCTCTCTGTAAAAAAACAATAAAATATATATATTTTTAAAAATTGGTTTCAATTATTAGCCTCAATATAAAATGACAAAATGGTTTCATACTTAACATAAAAAGAAACACTATCAGTGCTTCAGAAGATACTTTTCACAGAAACAGAATTTCCCAGTTCTTCTTTCCCAAAAATAAATTTCAAAACATTAAAAAATAATAATCAATCAGAGGCATAGAAAGGAAGTGGACTGACAATTCTCGGGGGGAAGGGAAGGATGTTGGGGGGGATTTCAGGAAGAATGCAAAAGTCAGAAAGAAACTGGACAAAAATCGTACACCTATGGATGAGGACAGTGGGGGAAGAGCAGAAGGTGAGGTGGGAACCGGGTGGAGGGAAGCTTTGGGGGGAAAAAAAGGAACAATTGTAATAATCTGAAACAATTTATAAATAATAATAATAATAATAAAAAGAATAAATAATGTAAGATTGCATTTTCCTCATGGACGGTGTTAACAATATTCCAAAGAGAACCATATTTCAAGACTATTCTACAAATCATAGAGCAGTGATTTTCAACCTTTTACATCTCATGGCATGGTTAGGAGTAAACAAAAAATATATTCTGCAGCACACCAAACAATATATTTTTTGCTAATCTGACCAAAGAAAAATTGGCATAATTTTTATTTACCCATAAGTATCAGTACTTTCATGTTACAGCAGTTGTGTTGACTGCTGTCATTTTTTTG